GTGACGCTTGAAAACATCACCTCGAGTGGCAAGCAAAGCTGTAGGAAAAATTAAGCTGAAATTACGATTAGTTGTTTCAGATATTTCGTAGGTGTTTCGATCAGCTAAAATGTGACGAATATAGCCGGTGCAGGAGACTACTGTGATACGACCACGTCCAAGTTGAATTGCCAATAAGTCACCATATTTTGCTTTGAGTCTGGCAATTGACTCATGAAATGCTCCACGACCTGCAGTCCAGATGATACCTAAAACAATCAATACATCAGCATATAGACACACAGAGGAATAAAAGACAAGAAGAACATAGTCAAGTAGATCTTGACATGTTTTTGTCAAGGTTTTGCCTAAGATAAACGAAAAACAGAATACTTGCCTATTAACCATTGAGTTGGAATCCGGCGTGGTACATTGGGATTACGTTCACTAGTGAAAGAAGAAGACTTTGAATAGCGATAGACAATAAACAAAAATACGGCGAGAATCACAAGCGATGCTGAAAGAAACATGTCTGCGATGATTGTATATGTATTCAGAATGAGAATTGATGAAAGCTGCTTCAGTAAAGAATTTCATTTTCATTTGCCATGGAATCAAAGAAGAGAAAGAAAAAAAGAATCAATGCCACCGTCTGCCTTTTGTTTACATAAAACATTCGAAGCTACATGTCGCTGTTTTATTTTCGGCAACAATTATTCATGGGCGTCACGATTGTCAACACAAAAGTTTCGAGCAGATGCATGTGTAAGACAGGACTCACCATGAGTCCTCATCTAAATGCTATAACTCTTGAGAGCTGAAGAACAATCAAAGCAAAGGCATAATCAAATAGCAACATACTGCTGTTATTGCCAATGAGTAACGATCCTGCGTCTATCGACGGATATGTTATTGCCGTGGAACAAAAACATTGATCTTGAATGTAAGTTTCGTTTTTCATATGTGTTTCTAAGTGATAGATTTTCATCAGATTCTCAGCCACGTAAAACAGAATGTTGTTGATGCGTGTCATTTTTCTATTGATGTTTATGGAGTAGAGGAGCAAAAATTCAACAGAACTGTATTCTTAGTATGAAAGAGTATACTGTTTTTTGACGGCTATTGTTTAACGTTAAGAATTGAATCAACTGACTATGTATTAAAATGGTTTAGCGGTAGTAGAATTCTGAAACATAAGCACAATCGATTTATTGCATGAGTAATGCTCTTTTTTGAACGAGACAGACTGGAATATGTTAAAAATGAACAAGAACCCTAGTCAAACATCTTGTAAGCAAGATCTTGGACAAGATACAAGGTACAGAAATGTTAACAGATCTTGAAAATTTAGGTACAAGATATTCATATTATCTTGTACCAAGATCTTGAATCAGATCTTGGGTCCAGATAAGTAAGATCTTTTTTTACAGATATTTAGGATATTGGGCACAGATTAATAAGATCTTACGAATAGATTCATTAGATCTTGGGCACATATTACGATAAAATCTGTTTCGTACGTCATGGTTTGCGATACAATACATGATTTATTCTGAAACTATGACTCGAACCTATCATAAAGCGAATTTTTTTTCTGTAAAATCATATTATCACACTTTTTCAATTTATTTTCATTTGAATTATTCCTATCTCAAATAATTGAAGCAAGTCAGACCTTGGAATCTGACTGATCTTGAGATGGCTCGATCTCCATTGGAGTGCTTCAAGGCAGTCCTCCCTCAATGATTGATCGAGATCAGCATGTTCTCGAGTAATTAACATTCGAGAAATAGTTTTTAAAAAATTTATTTTGAAAATGTATGCTTCACATGTTCAAACACGTTGTTTATATACGGCTATGTATGCATAAAAAGAACGGTGAATGACTAGTCAGCACATAAATACTAATGATATCGTTCTTTTACTCAAGATCTTGTGAGAAGATAATAGTAAATAATGTCTCTTCTATGATCTTGACAAGATCCTTAGTGCAGATTTATCCGATATAACCAAGATATTCACATACATATGATCTTTTCCAAATCTTTTCAAGATCTTGCTTACAAGATGTTTCACTAGGGGCAGACAATAAGCAAAGTCATGTCTTTTGTTTTTCATTACTGCCTCTTTTCGAGTAAACAAATATTCTCAAGTTACGACTGAAAGTCACATTATCTCTTATAGATTCCATCTATTAAAAGACGTACTTTAATTTTATTTTAACGATGTTACTGGTTGTACACAAGACAAGCCAATTGAGTGCATGTATTTGCATGCAACAAGATGCTGTTACTGAAATTTTTAATACAAAAAAGTGGCCATGAATACTAATGGTCACTTTCTAGCCATGAATACTAATGGTCACTTTCTAGCCATGAACTTGATGCCAATCGATATATTCGTCTATAAATGCACTAGATGGACTGTTATTTCGTAGTATCACATAATCGAATATAGGATTCAACGAAGACAATCTAAATTAGTAGAATTGTTCGCATTAATGTTCATCTATTCAAGCTGTAGGTATATTACTAGTTTGAAATTTATTTCTATCGAGGGAATGTCCATAAGACAAGACGTAAAAGAAATGTACTTTTATCCAAGTTACACATTCCCTAATTTTTAGCAGCATTTCTTCTGCGTTTTGCTGATCTTTGATCAGTTTTATTCAGATCCTACGAATTCCTTCCAACCAAATTCCGCTACAATCTTCGCTGTACAAATGCCAATCATTTACGACGAAAAACGATCAATACTTCGTCGAAAGTCGTTGGAAACCGTCGTCAAAGCCCGAATCGGAAATCTAGTTCAAGTGCTGGATCATTATTCAGTACGGTACACAAAAAGTTCCCGGTTTTCTACGAGCTGGTTCAACTCACTCACTTTTTCGGTCCAATACATTTGAAAAATTTTCATTAGATCAACGAGTTGCAAGATTTCATAGTAGTTCATCCTCAACGAATAGGAACTTATCAATGCCATATGTATGGACCAGAGATGTCCATGGCAGCGGTAGTATTGTCAAATAATCATCGCGGTGCGGCGCGGCAGCGGTCATTTTTTTAAGTAAACATCGCGGTAGCGGCGCGATGGCGGTAGATTTTTGGAGGACAATGCAAAAATGCATGAATTTGAATAGAAATTCAATGTTTTCAAGTACAAAACTATGAGATTCAACGAATCTTATCGATTACTAACAACAGTTCTAGTCCTGAACGGCCACAATCACAACATTTTGCTAGCAACCAAAGCGGCATAGTTATTTTTGGGCGCGGTGCGACAGCGTTGCGGTAGGTTTTCTACTTTCATCACTGCGGTGCGGTAGCGGCGCGCTAGTTTTTTTCTTTTATTGTAGCGGCGCGGCAGTGGTCAGTTTTCAACCGCGATGTACATCTCTGGTATAGGCATCCTTATTCATACAATCAACGTGCTATCACTTTCAATGACTTTCTGGCGAATCTAGTCACTACACAACAGTCCTCAACGGGCAATCTCATATCGATCCTAGCTTTTGTATATTATACTGGTTGGATGAATAGAATCAGTGAAGAAAACCACTCTCTACTCATGAGACACTCGACATAAATATGATAAGACTTGTCTAATAGAAATTGCTTCGGCCGTGAATATAATGTTCAGCGCTTTTGTCTATTTTCTAATCTAATGGAAGAGTTTCCACTTCTACCTGTCTTGTTCCAAGTTATGATAAACAGCTGTTCAAGATATCAACTATTTTTTCAAATTTCTTACCTTTATATAATATCAACTAAGACTTGGATGTGATACATTCCATGCCATTTATTATTTTGTCTCAGCGACAATAACAACTGATGGGCATAGTAACTGGAGTTGTTGTGCGTTCTACAGATAATTGATCTAATGCATTCGAAAGACTATAAAGAATAAGGGTACTTTCACTGATAAAATGGTAATTGTCTAGAATGTCTTTTACAAAATATCTCTGACTTTGAATTTTTAAAAACGAATCCTTCAGAGTGGATATTCCTGAGCAATAGTTCTGAGTGATATCTTATTTATGATAACAGATTAAATTTTATTGTATTTTCATTCGTAACAATAACGGCATGTTCGAATAATAAATCTTGTGCCGTGAATTGGTTATCGTTGAATCGATCACATAATTCTTTAGTTCGCATGTATTCACTTCTTTTCTAATGGAATCGATGAACAACCGTATATTGTAATGACTTTTTTTTGTAAAACACGATCTAAAAGCAGTGCTGAAGTATAGGAGTAGAAAAGTGGACCTTCTTCCTCTTCCTGACAGATCGTGTCAGATGTTGTTGATATACAATCAGAGACCGTATATCAATAACATATCGTTCTATATATGAGCTACTTGTTTATAGAATTTCTGAAGGATGAATTAAAAGGATGATGAAGAGACGTGTCCGAAAATACACAGAGCAGCAGTAGCTATAACGTGTTTCAAAATCTAATTCTGCAAAAATTACGCTAACATCGTTATTTAAACATCTTTTGAACCTAAGGTTAGATTCTACAAGTATGCGATAGGCTTAGCTACAACTTGCAATTCATACATTGCCTTCACTTACCTTCGCTAAAATTATCCATATATGTAAATAAATTCTCTATATAAACAATTTGAATAGGATATGGACCTTGATAATTTCTTCACCTACCTACATCCACACCCAACATTTCATACGACTTGGTCTTCCATGAATTAGATCTATGATGTATCAATGATATTATCACCTGTCTTCAGCGTCAATAATAATAAAGTATCATTTAGAGGATATACTTATGCATATCATACAATTAAAATTACTTATATTTTCTATCTTTTTCTTCTTCTTGATCTATTTTTATAGTAGATTCATGCTAATAAAAGGATAAGGCTTGCTTTAAGAGTCTGATTTTTTAAGTGTGAGACATTTTCTTTAATAACATATTGTATTGTTTTTTTATTTTATAACAGTAACAATGGCAAAGATTTCAAAGAAAAAAAAATTAGAAAGACCATGTCACTACGTTTTTTAAGCATCTTCATCATCATCGTCATCGTCGTCATCGTCATCGTCATCGTCTGTTGATTCGTTGTGAACTTTTTGACGTTTTAAAACAACTAAAAGAAAACAATAACTAGTTGTTTTAGACATAAGATATTAACATACGCCCATCTTCTTCATCACTATCTGATTCATCTCCTTCCTCATCTTCTCTGTCAGAATGTTCAAGTTCGTATTCCGTTCGAACAAGGCCTTTTTCATACAAAGTTGATACGAAAGTGATTTTATCTTCGATAGTTGCCAATGGTAAAGAATCAATACTAATATATTCTGGATAAATTGTGAAGAGCATTTCAAGTGCAGGCAATGTTTCTTTATCTACGCCAAGTGTTGATAATGGTCGATCATGATAACTTCGAGCATTGTCTGTTGTATAATGTGCGACGATATTGTCTTCATTATCTTCATCATTATTATCATTTTCAACAACACGTAAACAATGACGACGTAAAAGACGAATTCGAGTATCAGGCTCAAGTTCTACAACATTACTAACACGGTTTAAATCACTATTCCATCGTTCACCTTGTTCTTGAATAGTTGTTAATTGTTCTTCTGCTGTTAACATTGGTGGTAATGCATCATGCATAAATTTTTGAGCCATTACATCAACACTATTATCCATTTGAATAGGAACACTTTCACGAAGTAATTCATCAAGTAGTTGATGACACTTAGCATGAAAGTTTGCACGTTTTTTCATAGGTAATTTTTTTGTACTATGAATAAAACCAAAATGATTGAGACAACCTAATGGTAAACCTTGACGAAATTTAACATTTGTTTTCATAGCTAATAATAAAAATAATATGAAAAATAATACTAGAAAATATTTTTAAAACGAACCATAATCTACTGCTTTAGGCAGAAGAATTTTGAAAAGATCTCCCCATGTATTTTGTTGATAACAGCTAACAGTAAGATGTAATGAATGAGCATCATCAAGAGTACGACCCTGATGAATATAACCACGTGGCATATAAAGAAGATCACCTGCTTCAAGTACAACATCGATACATGGTTTGACATTCTCGATAACTTTTTTATCTAAATCAACACTTGATTTTAATGGTAAAACTTCATCATCATTAAGTGGTTTATAAACACGCCAATGTTTTTTTCCTTCGAGTTGAAGAATAAATGCATCGATATCATCTGAAAATAAAATTATATATGTGTATATATCAATAATATGATTTTGTAGACATATTTATTCATACCATAATGAGGAGCAAATCCTTGAGAACCAGGTGGTGTCAAATATGTATTTGCGCCAACAAGTGAACCAAAATATTCCTGAAGACATGATAATAATTTCCAAATATTTGTTGAATATGTATGAGGATTAAGAAGACGAATAGAACATCCTTCATTATATGCATCCCATACAACAGCTGGACGGGCACGACCTTTGAAAAAATTAATATCAAAGTTTATTTTTATTCTACAATTAAATAAATATCTATCTAACACAACCTTCTGGATTATGTCGTTCTTTTTTCGATGTTGCCGGATTATAAAATGTCAGATCAATATTTTCTCCATATTCAAGTGTATTTTCTCGAAGTATATCGTCTATATCGCTTGTCGAAAAAAGTCCATTGTAATACGTCGGTTGTTTACGTTGAATAAGTAATGCTTCCCGTTGCCATGTTCGTTTTATAAACTGTTTAACTGGAGTAGGATCAATGAGTAAACCAAATAAATGTTCACCAAGAAGAGTACTATCTTCAATTGGAACATGATCATGAAGCCAAGCTGATAAAGGTGATTCATCTTCAATCTATAGTAGAAAAAAAGGTACGATGAATCTTTATCATACTTGGAACTAGAGCAATGAGTCTGCTCATTACTGTTTTGGTCTAGTTGAACTCTGAAAACTACTATCCATTTCAAACTTAGAGAAAGATGAATATTTTTGGAATAATTTTTAATAGAAATAAGATAGAGATTTACGGTTGGGTGTACATATCAGATTTTATTGACTGGTTTTTTCAGAGTCTCATTGAATTTTTTATAAACTTGAGGCTTTCATATAGGTTTATTAGGTAGATGTATCCTGAAAAGGTTATAAAAAAAAGTCATTTTTATTGCGAAACATCTGCCAATAACACGTAGAAAAATGTTGATAACCCATGATTGGCTAAATCTTACAAATCGGGTTCACATAATTTATAGATCTTTTCTTAATGATTCTAATGCACTTCTGTAAATAAAAACTCTGAAACTTTTGCAATACACAATATCTTGTTTTTAATAAACTGAATGGCAGATCCTGAGGGGACTTTTCCGAGGAAGCTGCTATATAGGACGTGGGTGTGAGTTTTCAGTCCATAGTTTCATTAAAAATCATCAGAAAATTCCATTCTATTGTCAAGATCTTATCAAATACTAGTGTCATGCAATTGTGAAAATATATAGATATGAAGAACCTTTAAAATAGAAAGTTGAATATAAAAACCATAGGTTTTAGCTCACGTTATCTTTCTATCATCAATAATATCCTTTTATGAATTGAGATGCGTTTCAGCTGCGTTAAATAATTATTTCAAATAAAAATAGATCAAAATTCTCAATTTAAAAAAAATTCATACCATTATTTAAAAAAAGTCAGTCAAAACATAGAATGGGTGTTGTTCAATATTAGTTGCTAGTTGAAACATTGTGAAAGAAATCTTCGTTAGTTCTTAATGTTAATACATATGAAACTTGACAGACTAAAATAGGAGTTGCTACTGCTATAAATTCCTAGATTTATATGAGTTTTTACATCGTATACATTCACAGAAGTAAAATAATTAACTGTTTCTCAAAAGAACAGATTGCTTAATTGATATAGTAAGTCTAGCGAATTTTGCTAATTAACTCAATAATTTTAAGCGTCCAGTCTGGTTCTGCCGAAGAAAGTCCTACTGGTTCCAAGAATGATCTTCATCGATTTCATAAATGAAATTAATCTCTTACTTCATCTGCTTCATCTTCATCTTCATCTTCGTCTTCGTCTTCATTAGTTTCACTGTTTTCTTCTAAAGTTGGTTTATCAATCTGAGAATGGCGAGGTCCCGAAACAAGGACACGACGTTGAGGATATGGTGTTGGATAAGCAGGTGATAAAAATTTCGTTTCAGAATTTTTTATTTTTTTTGTTGTACTTGGTTGTTCAATAATCTTTGATTGACCATTTGTTTCAGAAACTGGTAGTGCCGGTTGCAATGATTTTGATCGATTTTTCTTTGTTTGATTTTCCTTTAAATGACCATTTGTATTTGCCATTGAAACCCGTTTACGTTTACGTGATGCAGGTAATACTGAATCATTTTGAGGAGACAATGATACTTCTTCAGAGTATCGAGCAAAAGCTGAAATTGGACCTGACATCTGAAAAAATTTTAATATAGTTTTTTTTTCATCTGACCGTTGATGATCATGATTTATTAGCAACTTTTTATACAAATAAACACACAAAAAGAAAAGTTTTTTTTTCCTCTAAATCATTAACCAACAAAGACAAGTGGATCAGCTTGAACAATACGTTTGTAAAGTTTCCAAATTGATGTACAAACATCTTTCAGATGAGTTGAATTATTATATTCAGATGCACCAGAACATGTCACATTTGTACCAACAGAAAACGGTGTATAAGCTTCGCGTAAAACTGATCCAGAAGGATGAGACATATTCGATACACTCATGACAAGTGATTTATGGCTTGTCGGACCGCCAACAGTACCCGGTGTTGGTACATTAACCGATGTTCGCTGAGAATTTGGATCACTACCACCACCACTGGCACTGGATGTTCGTTCAGTTAAATTAAGATTCGAAAAGATGTAATCCTATAACAAAAAATTTCAAAAATTTCGAACTTTCTATGTAATTCAATTTATTAATCTCGTAAGTTCATTTCATAATATTGACATACCAATTCAAGTGATAATGTTTGTTTCATCATATTCTTTTGTGTTTCACTAAGATATGTTGATCGCATAAAGAGTGGTACTTGAGAAAGAATGAGACTTAATAAATGTTCAAGTGCAAGCACAAGAAAAGGTCTAGAAAGACAATAAGTAAAAATATTATTTAGTAATTATTTTAAAACTAAAAAGAAAAACTATACGAACCTCTGTTGTACTAAACGTTCAAGATCACTTTCTTTTATACGAGCTGGTCTTGGTGAATTACTTTTTATTAGACTAAACTAAAAAATAAAAAATTTCGAACAATAATTAAAATTCTATAATTTTTCATAGATATCCCCAGGTCAATCTAAGATTCGAGTTTATCCTAATTTTTTTCTAGACCAAACTAGGATAAAGTGATTAGTAATTCAAGCCACAAATGACCAATCGAGCAGAAAACTTGATTGGTTTTACAAGCATACTGACTGTTGTTGTTTCGTCCTTGTCCTAAGTAATAATCATCGTTAATAGCACCTCGAACATAGAATTCGAATGCAGTATTTATCTATATTTCATGTAAATCAGCCAATCGTACACGAAAAAGTTCATAAAGTACAGCACATCAGTCTACCAAAACATTCGTTATTTATCATTCTCTTGTTCATCATTTGCTTCAATCTTTACATACTTATGACATACATCATCCTTATACTGAAAATCAAATGCACAATTGGACAAATTTTTATTCTGATTTGATCTAGATGATTCTTAGACAAATCTAAGACAGATATACATACTCGCTCCATTTGAGTAACAATATATTGAGCACCAGTAAGCCAAGTACCAAATGATGGTGCTGTACGTCGTTCTAATGTTGGTGTATTAAATAAGGGCTCAACTAAATATTTAAATGAATCATAATCAATTGTTTGTTTATATAGTAGTGATTCATTAAGTTCATTTAATGGAATAGTACATGGATGAAGTGCCCAACAACAAGTACATAAAAGTCGTAATAGTCTACAGAGATAAAAAAAAGAAAACAAATCGAATATTATAATTTGTATTGTTTGTTCGTTTTTTTTTTGTACCCGACTTGAACTTGTTCAAATTCTGGTGCTTGAGAACTAGCCGGTTGAGCAGAAGCAGCAGCAACTTGTTGACGAACATTAACTAATCGTGGCTTTGGGGTACCTTCACTTGGTGTTACAGGAGGTACACTAGCAGGAGATGATAATATTGATTGATTAAGAAAAGTTGATGTTGGTCGTAATGAAGAACGTTGAGATAATTGTGAATGATCTATCACAATTGATTGTGATATCGAATAATCAGGTACAATATTTTCTTGATTTTCTAATTCTGATCGATATGCACAACGAACTTTTTTCTAGAGAATTTATTCAAAATAAAAAATGATTCCACAAAAGAAAACAGCAGATTTTCATTAATATCTTACTGTTAACATATTGTGTACAAGAGCAGAATGAAGAAGAAGATTAATTGAATCATGAAGAAGATAATTTACTGCTGCCTAAATTCTCAATAATGAAATGAAAACAAAAACAAATTTTTTCATTTTTTTGATTTTCTTACAATACAAATGCACGCTTCTTTATGATGTTTACTCATTAATTGATTATAGAATTGTGTTAAACATGCAAAGAATTGACAACATACATCAGCATTATCCAATGATGCTAATGAAAATTGTCTTGTTACATTATGAAAACTCTTATAAATAAGAAAATAAAACTAAAATTAATAAGAAAAAAAAAGAAGAATAATTCTATCAACTAACTTCAACAATATATTCACTAGAAGCTGCAAATACATCTGATGCATTATTAAAATGTCGATAATCACCATATACACTTTCCGAATGAACAAGAAAAATATTTAAAAGTAAATAAAGACGTATGACTTTTGACCAATTGATTTGAGATATTTGCTATAATCAATTTGAATTATTTTATTTCGTATACTTTTCTTTTTTCGTTTGTGTACTTACATCTTCATTCGAACTATTTGTTTGTTGTTGAATAATAAAACGAAATGTATGAAGTGTACGTGGAATAATATTCATCGTATGAAACCATTGAATACTGTCATTCTTTTTTGTTAAATCATATAAAAAACTTAATATTGTATAACATACACGAAAATTATCTCGTTCCTAGCAGAACAAAAACAAGCAAAAGTTTTTTTGTTTTTTTGTATAGAAGTAGATTTTTACTTGTGACACTTTATGAAATAGATCAATAATATTTGCTACTGTACGTTCTTGTTTTATATTTACAGATAAGTTTGTTGATTCTTCATTCGAGACAAATATAGATAATAAATGAAATGTATGAACTAATGCCTATAATCAATAGAAAACACACAAATATTAAAATATAAAAAACAAGTGCTAATAAGGTCACTTCTTTCGATCACAATATTTTCAGAAAAAAACCACATATTCGGAATCAGCATTAAATTCTGCATCCAATGAATAATAGAATTTTAAAAAAAATTTTCGATGATTCTAGTGTATTCACAGGCGAAAAATGAAAGTCATTTTTCGACAGATAACGCTACATTATCTAATTCAAGCTTTAATGTTGATTTCAAAAATCTACTTTGCTTTCTGAAAATATTGTGGACAAAAAAAACATCTCATCGACATTTGTTCTTTTTTTTCAACTAACTTTAACAGCACATTTATATTGTGGCGTTGTTGATGAATGAATATCAATAATATCATTACAATAATCAACAAAATCAAGTAAATGTATAAGAACAGTTGCATAACTTGTTAAATCATATTGTTGTTGATCAATATCTAAAAACAAAAATAAAAGTTTATCTTGAATTAAAGGCTGAATAGAATTTTTTTTTTCTTTGTTTTTACCAGGTGTCAATTCAATAAAGGTTTGAATTAAAAGAACAAGTGCATCTAAATAACAATATTTGACATAAATTGATACATATTCTGGTCCAAGAACACAATTAGCTAAATTAATATAAGTCGGTAGAATATTTAATGGTGCTTGAACTTTATCACTGTGAATTAAAGAAACGAATTAATTAAATATTTGATTAATACAATAAAATTTACTTTCTCCATTTAATAAAAGCATTAATAGTTAGATTTAGACAAATAACAGCTATTTTCATACAAGTTGAATCATTGCGAGTAAGTACAAGTTGAACAATAGATGCTAATTCTTGAAGCCATGTTTCACCATCTGGTAAAACCTTTCGAATACGATCATTCTATTAATGAAAAAATGTTTATAATATGTCTAAAAATTTTCTTGTATCGATTTTATTATCACTGACTATTCTATTTTTCGTCTTAGGATTATTCTCTATACATAATGGAGACTAAGACAGATGACTATTTCGTTTTTCAAGTTGATGAATGTCTTGCGGATTATATTAGATTTCGCTAACATTTCATTAAATGGAAGTGATGACTTATTAGAAACTCGCGATTTAATGTGTTACATGTGACATATCTTGCCGTAGGACGATAGCCTGACACGCTGATGTTTGGTGATTTTCATCCTTCTCCGATAACATAATTATTTTTTTGCAAACCACAAGCAAATGTATAAAAAGACATAAGAATTACGATGCAGATCTAAGACGAAGAATATACACCAAACAATAGAATCGTATATGTAGAAATGAAAAACAAATGACCTTTGTATAGTTTTTTATACAACGTTGAGATATACGATCGTTATGATGGGAACTATAAACTGCTCTATCTCTTGGAGGACAATTGTTTACAATCGCACTCACTTAATCTGAATGTTTGACATAATTTTCAAAAAACTTCTCCTCTTAAAGCTCTTTATCATATTTTGATGATGTGGAAAGATGATCGCTCGTACGCTAAAGAAACAAGGCAATGACAGAATCACTCTTTAGCTACTCTGCAAAGCTCAATAACTTTTTTGAATTCTTCTAACAAATATATTCACTTGCTCCATGAATTATCAGGAAACAAGTGAACTCTAATATCCATCTTCTAAAAGATTTATTCTTTTCTAGCATTTATAACATGATCTTGTGCACAATTTTTGAAATATTATCCAAATTATTTGATTTTCTATTAAATAAAATTTGAAATTCTTACATTTAAACAAAGAAGTGCTTTTGTAAAATAGATTACTGAAGAAAAAAAAGACAATGATAATGATTGTTCATTTAACATATCATCTTCAATATTTGTTTGAAAAAATGTACGACAAGCCTAAAATATTCATACTATTTATTAAATTTAATCTAGTAAATAAATAAATATTCATACTTTAATCCAGTGAAGTAAACAATTATCAGTAATTAATTTATTTAATATATCATAGAAATCATTCCCAGTTTGATCACTAAAATAAAGTAAAAAAAATAAATCACAAACTACTTTATTAATTAAAATGACTTACGTAGTATAATTAAGTAAATGTTGAGTAAGTAAACGAAATGAAGCTGATACTGCACGTTTATCACCTATATCCATTAATTCAATTCGTACACTTGTATTTGATATTGATGTTGAAATATTTTTCCAAAAATTTTTTCTAAATTAAAACATACAGAATAAATAATAAAATTAATGAAAATTCTTTTTTTTACATTTCAACAAAATAATCTACAAGTAATTGAGTATGTTGTTCCCAAAATTGTGTTATAAATGTTACAGTTAAAATAAATAAATCACTTGCACCAATATCATTTGGATTCTAAATAATCAAAGAAAGATAAACTATTGAAATATTTTAGATATACTATATACTAACTTGTGCACTCCATCGAAGTAATTCAACAATTGGTTGTAAAATTGTTGAGTTACCAAATGTTGCTGTTGGAGTTGTATTTATATCACATAAATAACCAAGTAATGCTGGTTGAGAATTAACACATACAATCAAAAAATCCAAAATGGCCATTGTTAAATCCGGAGACTACAAAGAAAAAGCTGTTAGTACAATTCCTAAGAAATGAAAATGTGAAACACAGTACAGTTGCTGCTGCCAATCATATAGAGATTATTTAATTCTATTTGTTAGGAGACATCTCTTCACTGTCGTTTTACTTAGTCCTCCAGAAATGCAATAATGAAATAGTTTATATATTATAACAAGACATTATTAGTATACAATCTGTGATTGTATATCAATAACGTCCATCGCGATCGGTGATGCGATGAGGAAGAGTGTCGCTAGAGCACCTATCACGGGAACTGCTATGACCGAGACAAGTCACTAACGACTGTTTGTCTTGAATCAACTGTACAATAGCATGCTGTCTATGTTGTCAAATATATCTATTCTTGTGACCAGTATGTGGCTAGTCAGTGTGTTTGGGAAACTAAAATGATGAAGTGGCAGAACTCTAACGTAAGTTAGGTTGGCCTTCTGTCTAGAGCTGCAGTTAGTAATAATTGTAGAAAAAATATTGAGCTTTCCAACTCGTATTTACGCTTGTTAAAGTCTGTACGGAAGTGATCGAAACTTGCACCTCTGTACATCAGTAATCCTGTCAGATCGTGTTTCACAGAATTAAAAAGAAATTAAATTAATCATGATAATTAATGATTTTACTTTTCTATTTTTGATGTTTTCTATAATGAATGTTCGAAATCGTTCAATATTTGATTCTAATAAAATTGAAAGTCCAGGTGTAATCTAAATGAAATAAATGAGGTTCATAAAAACAGACAATAAAAATTTTATTTTACTTTAGCTAAACTTGTTAAACAGCGTAGACAAATTGGTGCTTTTATATCATTAATATGTTGTAATAAGAAATCAATGCAAACTTTAATTAATAATTTTGATGCAAATGGATTATTTGGTGTATTTATATTTTGTTTAAAATTTTCTACTTGATAATCAATTACAGATGAAATAATTGACATAGAATTTTGTAAACATGATTGATATAAAATTCGATTTGCTGGATCGGATAATCTAAAAAATAGATAATAGAAGAAAAAAAACGTCCTATTTTGTAGAATTTACGTGGTATCAGTATCTAATGGTTTAGCACATTGAAGTAATGTTTGACTAACAGATGGATGTTGTAACCAACCAAAAATAAAAATCGGTGATCTATAAAATAAAAATTTTCATCGAAAATCTTGAAATAAATTCACATATACTTGTTTTGTTCATCTTCTGTTGATACTTTTACTGATGACGATGCTAAACAACGAATAATAACAGTCCATATTAATTTTAAACATTGTTCACGTATTGGCAACCATCGTTTTATCTTGATTGATTTTGGTAATGTGGAAAAAAGTAAATGAAAAATAATTGCTCGAAAACGATCAGTTGTTTCACTGATCTATAAAACAAAAAACAAAACAATTCTCAATCCTTTAGAAGTAGTTTGTTTTTATTCATAACCTACATGTACAGTATCTCGTGTGGTTTCAAGTAATGCAATAAATACTGGAATCCATTCATCAGCATATTGATTTTCACTACACATTACTTCTAATCGACCCCAAAATGCACTATCAAGTTCAGGTAATCTATTTGAAGATAATAACAATAAACAATACATAAGAATTATGTGATTTTACCGAGCTGTAGGATCAAGTTCATTCGATACAATTGTATTTTTATCAACAAATGATGGAAATAAACTCGAATCAATAAATAAGACTGTTAAGTCTAAAAGAGAAAAATTTTTATATTAAAAAGAAAATAATTTATTGAAGAAAATACTCTGAGCATGTTTCATTGTTTGAAATGCTTGTATTAAAACATGAGATGGAATAACATTCATTTTGCATAAACTAAAGCAAAATAAAGAAGTAACTATTATTACATTCCTTGCAGAATTGTATTGTGAAACACGATGTATCTAATGTTGGTTATCAGAAGGATATTATTTTATGCTACGTGTTTTGCGATATATTGCTTCACTATCATTTTGCTTAATTCTTCAGCAATGCAATAAGTAATTCATATGGTATAACAAGTTCTTTTTGACTAATATCGATGAAGTTCCTTCACAAAATGTTGTGATGAGATTAGAGGCATCTCCCTTTGTAGAAAATTAGCTGCTCGATTGCTTTATGTAATAAAAAAAAACTTGTATTTTGGAGTTTTCTAGAGATTCTTGATCTTTGAAATACTATAAAGTTTTTATTTTTCTCGAATTCTTGTTGAAAACAATTTTCTCTATTCAAATCATTATATTTTGATTCTTTATATGAGTTACCATTACAGAAAAAAATCGAAATACAGTCTGTATGATCAATTTTTAGAGTCACTGTATACTTCGTTTTATGCTACTTGTTAATGAGAATTTCTCTGTGAGTATTTTTCTTGAAACTTATTTATGAACCTATAAAGTATTGATTATTTAACATACGAAGAATAAACTTGTTACTATGGCAGAAGAGAAATACTTGACTGCTTCATTTCTATAAGTCTGACATTGACTTCGAATTAGTCGGAGCCCGATGTGAGGGCTCTATCTATAGCTTCAAGATTCCTTTTAGATCGTGATTCACAAAAAATAAAAGATTCATAGATGAAAAAAAAACAAGTTCTGTTATTTACCTTGGTAAGAGATAAATAATTCTTAATAAAATTCCATTAAATCTATCGTAATATTCTGGTCGAATTGTAATCAATGTTGATATACAATCAATAATAGCAAGTGTTTTTGTAAACATTGCAAGAACATTTGCATCTGTATCATCCACTATTTTTAAATAGAAATATATAAAAGTAATAATAGTAATGTTATTCTGTTTTTACCTCTATCTTGTTTTCGTACATAAGCAAGTGCTTGATCAAGTATAAGAAGTAATATTGCTTGTGGATCATATTTACAAGGCCAAATAATAAATTGTTGATTGAAATTATTTCGTATAAATCCTCTTGTATCTTCTCGAATAGTAATTATTCCTAAAAGCAATAAAATAATTATAAAAAGCGCTTTGAAATTTTCGAATTTGTTGTTATTCGTTTTTTGCAATTCAATTCATATATATTAAAAAACTATTGAATATTAAGAACTAAAGAAAAAAATATTCATTTTTTCGTTCATCTTATTTCAAATGTAAACATAACATGATATAATTTAAATGAATCTGATTCAAATGCAATCACATAATAATAGTGGATTATTTCGAACAAAAAAATATTCAACATCTCGTGTGAGTTTAAGTTATTTTAATTAATAGTCTTTTAATATACATTATTAGAAATATCAGTTTAATGTTCTCGAAGAAAAATACAGTTTTTCAAATTTGTTTTTAGAAAGATTTCAAAAGTTCAAGTATAAACTAGATTATTTTGAAAACAGCAGATTTCTATACAAGTGAAGAAAATTTTAAGGCTGTTGTGTTTTGAAGTTTTTTCTTCGATGGTAATAGCTAGAAGAAATCTGAGAAAAAAAGATTTCAGTAGCTAAGACGATTTGGTATCAAGATTGGTATATCTAAAAATTCGATTAGAATTTCTTGAATGCGGATCCCTTGAAAATCAAGATTTTTCAAAACCAACTCTCTGAATCTGATCGAAAGCTTTTTGCAAACAATTTCATTCTATAGAGCAAAATGAGGCGTCTCCAAGCTTTTCACGACCCTACATTATCGAACTAGAAAACTTCAAACATAGAAAAATGACTGCGTTTTTAAAAGTAAGAAAAAAATGTTGTTGGAGCCATATTAAAATTGAACGTAGTTCTATTGTGTAAAGTCGTGAGCAGCTCGAAGACTAGTCATTTTACTCTATCGAATAGAATTATTTGCAAAAGGCTACGAATTGAATGCAGGAAGCTGATTTTAAGTGTCTTGGGTTTTTTAAAGACTCATTCAAAAAATTTCGATGAAATTTTTAGGCACACCAATCTTGATGCTAAATTGTCAAGTTTTCCGCGCATGAATGTTTCAAAATCGATTAGGTCAAAGTAAACACAACATAGAAAAATTCCGAATCTCATAGAAAAATCCATCAAGTCTCAAAAATTAGTAGTATAATTGGTAAATTGTGGGTGCTAGGACAGTTTCCTACAATCTTGGGAGAATCCATGATATATAGTATCAATTGTGGTCGTTATTACGTTTGTTTATTCGTGTCTCCTTGATTGCGGGCAATTTTTCTTAATTGGAGGAAAAATATGTCCGCAAAGTAGAATCAGGGGGTATAGACAAAAATGACCGCATTTTGAAAATTGTCCGCAAAGCAGAATCGAGGCAGAGAATGAAAATGTCCGCATTATAGAATCAAAAAAAAAGTAGAAATAGTAAGAAAATTAGTACAGACAAATCGATTCTATCGACGCTAATCAGTAATGATTCGATTAGAACAGGAACACGCACAACAACGAACAACTCGTCCAAAAAGGTTAACTTCAGTTAATAATGAAAATATTTTAGTACAAGCAACAAAAGATTATTTAAATGGTCTACTAGATGTAGATGATTATCAAAAAAGACTACGTTCTCTTTGTTACCGATACATTCACATATTTGATACATCTGACAAAGATGACGAAGATTATGAACCAAAGCATAGTTGAATGTTGAATCATCTCGTACTACTTGTATCTTTCTCTTTCCTCACATAATAAATTTTTTCTTGATTCTATAATGCGGACATTTTCATTCTGTGCCTCGATTCTGCTTTGCGGACAATTTTCAAAATGCGGTCATTTTTGTCTATACCCCCTGATTCTGCTTTGCGGACATTTTACCTTAATTGGTTAAAAAAAGTGTCCGCATTGTAGCTGTAGCCTGTTTATTGTGGTGCTAAACTAGCGCCCAACTGATCCGATTGCAAGTATGGCCTAGTTCATCCTTGCTTATGCCACTATTCAAAATATTTTTGCTAGTTTTCTTTCTTATTTAATTTGTGAGTTTTCTTTTAGCAAAAGAAAAAAAAATATGGTCGCCTATGTATACGACGTTCAAAAATATATCATTCATTAGCAAATAATAGTTCTTATCCATCTAATCCATATTATAATAATTTTAGTATTAATTATCGCCCACAAACAACACAATTACGACATAGACGTATAAGACGAAAAATATTTAATGGTGCTGGTGATGAAAAACTTATTCCACCATCATCAATCGAACAAAAACATATTGATTTTACTGAACTTGAACATATTTTTGATAGTGCTCTCCGAAATCATCTTCCAATTGAATTATATAAAGAAAAACCACGAACAAAAAATATAGTGGATGAGAATCTTCAATCTATATCAAAATTAGAATCCACTATAAATAATAATCCAATAGATACACGAATAGAATTATCAAATCAATTAACTGACGAACCGATTAAAAATAATAATCATGGTTTTATTTATAAATTTAAACAATATAAAATACTTTCAGCTATAACTGTTGTTACATTATCAGCTATGACGGGTTTTCTTAGTGTTTTTATTTTTATTAAATAATATTAATTTTTCTAAAAGCGCCAATATTTATTTTATTTTTCATATCTATTATTCAAAAAAAAGAAATAACCAAATTAAATATAGAAAACAACATCCTATTTACTCATTCACTTAGATGTTTTGTTTGTCTTCTTAAATCGTATATCTATTTATTTTTTGATCTTATACAATTTAAATGAATTACAAAGATAATTGAGAATTATTAATCAATTTATATGACTAAATCAATTTCATCAGATGATAATAATGAAATATCTACATTGATAGTTCAAAAGAATTCGTTAAACAAAATCGATGAATATTCATTGATAAACAATGACCCAATAGCAACTCTAGATAATAATGAAGTTTATGAAAAAATTCGACCATTAAAAACAGTAACAAAAACATTCAATGAAGATCAAGCTCATGGTGATGATACTCATATTGAACTATCAAAAGATCAAGAAAATTTATTGGAATTATTTTCACATGAAAATCAACAAAATGCACATTCATCACAAAAACGAACAGGTATTTCATCACTAAGTATTTTTCTTCAATCAAAAAAAGAAAAAGCGTCATTCTTATAATAGATATTCCAACAATGTCCAACGAATATTGTCCTAACATGACCATGGAAGTTACTGATAAACCCAACGAAGTACTAAAGTTAGATAATGGAAATAGAATGACTCAAACTTATCATGATCAAAAGGGTAATTACAATTTTAAAAAAAGTAATAAATGAAACCAATATTCTAGCGTCCAATCCGGAGTTCGATATGAATTGAGGTTATTGTCGATATTGAAGTATGGATGACAATTAGCGATGAACAATTTTAAAGGGAAATCCTTACACTAAATTTCTGTGGAAAAACTATTTATTTTAGAAGTTAACAAATTGTAAATTACTTGATGTAGTATTTTACGCTGATTCCAGATATGTATTTATTTTTTTCTTAACTTACCTCTGTATAATGAATTTAATAGTTGAGGAAAAGTTTCTTTTAACCTAATGTCCACGTTACTTCCCATTAAGCGAAAATACTTAGTCTCTGCTTCAACATTTGCTGTATTAACCCTACAATCCGTCATTGGTCTAAACTAATCTGAGATTTGCCGAAAATGTTCCGATGAACTTTAAATTGAACGTATTGTAATTGATCAATCCAAGAGTAGCTTGAATTAATGTTCATTCAAAGTAAGATTCAATATTAGCCTAGGCAGCAGAGTTCGAGAATTCTGGTTCGGTTCCCAAAATATTACATGGAATCGAAACCATTAAGTCATTAAAGACGTGCAAAAATTTGCTATCTATTTTGAGAAATGTTCACTATTGAATTGTTGAGATTAATGACACCATATATTACAGCATTTACGACATAGGTTTTTATCTTTATCTAACGACTTAATGGTTTCGGTTTTTTTTGATACCAGCAAACTTTATTAGACGGATCTGAGATTGAACGCTAACACATATTAAAATTTAGAAAAAGAACTTAATTTCGATGATATTTCATTACAACAACAACGATCACCTATTGATGTATGTGAATATGAAATAGATTTAGGCAATGGTCGCATAACAAAATCTATTTCATCTTATCAATCCGATGATAAACAACAACAACGAACAACATCAATTATATCAGCTGATTCAATCCAACCAACAACTACATCTCGAATACCATTCACTAATAAATTTTATAAACAACATATGTATCCAAAACAAGAAACCACAATTAATCATTGTGATGAATCGAATATTTTATTCAATTTACATGATTATGTACAAGAATCAGAAACAAAATTTTCACTTAGAACAATAACAATTTTTAGTATCGGTACAACGATTATTATTATTCTTATGATTGTCTTAATATTGTTTGTCTTTTGAATACATCGAATAATTTGTTTGTTTTTATTAAAAAAAAATAAACTTTGAATTTAATTCAATAATTAACTTATTCTAATATAGTCCTACAAAGGAAGGTTTCATATTGATAAAGAACTTTTGAGCCCATATTTTTCTTAAAATGTAGAGGATCTATAGATTAGTACAGGTTCCAACGGGTTCGTGCTGATATTAAGAATTGACTTTTTAGTGAATTTTCTCTGCATAGGTTCGGTTTTTCGCTAGAGAATTCTATTGTCGAGTTTTGACTTGAAAACTTTCTCTAGATCAAAATAGCAGTGCGACTAGCTTATGCACAGAATTTTAGAAGTTTTCGATCTAGTGTCTATAAGATATGCATCTTTCAAAATATGCATGTCTTACACAATATTAATTAAAAACAGCTTGAGGCTTGAGAAATACATACCTTGAAGGCACTCGATCAAAAACTTCTATAATTCTATGTATAAGCTAGTCGCACTAAGAACTTGATCCGAACAAATTTTTCAGGTTAAAACTCATTAAAAATTTAATAATTTCGTCAAATCTTAGCGCCAGCACAAATTCTTTAGATGATATTCTAGTTTATCGATATCCTGCGACTGAGCATAATATGCATTCAAAAAATTTTTATCATCTTCGGAACTTTTCCTGGTTAGTTACTTTGAAGTGACTTTTTTCTTTGCTTAAGTGTTATATGACTTTCACTATATTTAATTATTATTGTTGTCATGCAAATAAAATCGTTTCGAAAAATCTTGCTTTTGTTTTTTCTTCTTTTTATTTTGTTTGAATGTTTTAAATGCCCTCTATTGGGCATCATCGAAGTTATTCATTTGGTCAAAAATCCATTCATTTTGGTCGATGTGTTAAACATCAATTAATTCGACGATTTTCTTCTCTAACATCACAAGTTCATAATAAAAAAAAACAAAATGCTCTTTTACTTCTTCCACAAATTCATCATAATACTTTAAATTTAAATCGATCTGCTCTATCAGAATCATTACCAAAAGCAAATGTTCGAACAGGTATAATGCTTACAACATTTAATCGTAATCAAGAATTATCTTCAATAAAAACTATTCCTCGTGCACCGCCATTACCATCAAATTTTAATGAAAAAATTTCATCAGAAACATTAAAATCAACTGATTTTTCTAAAGCAATTAAAAATCATACAAGTTCAATAACACCATCCGGTACTGATTTATCACAATCAATGTTTATTCGACCAAGTCAAATCAATGAATCTTCATCAATTATACAAATGACAAAATCGAAAATCTATTCAAATCCTATTGCTAAACCTAATTTACGTAATCGTCGTCGAACACCATTAACACCTGATGTACTTGCTTTAACAAAACTTCGTCGTCCTGAACATATTAAGTCAAGTATAGCACAACGTATTGAAGAATTAAAACAAGCTTCATTAATGAATAATCAAATATCGGATGCAAAATCTTCGATTATTTCAACAGAAAAAAATAATGATTTACTTATAACATGTGAATATAAAAATAATGAAACTGAACGTAATTGGCTTAGACAACAAACACAATTAAATTCATCAATACAATTTTTAAATACAAATAATTATTTACAACTTAATAATCGTTTATTTATTATACGTTCCATTGAATTTATTGATAATACAAATTTACGTTTTTATGCTCAAGAACAACAATATGAAGGAAATTTTTTACTTAAATATTTTAAACAAATAAATATATTAACTATTTTAATTATAAGCATATTACGTTTTATTGAAAACATTTTATCAAATTTATCAATACCAGGTATACAAGTTATATTAAATTTAATCTATGTTTTTATTCTTATTACTATTGCAATTATTCTTTTAATAAATCAAAAATAAACTTTTCAATAAACATACCGGGACCATATGGATATATATTTGATACAGCTACACATTCATCATTATTACCACCAAGTAATGCTATATTACAATTTTGAAATATATGTACTGAATCGACAAGAATATCGCGATCAGATAAACGATCAGCCTAAATAAAAAAAAAAAAGAAATTGTACATTTTTTCACATTTAATAATGAAAATACGGTTGGCTTTTTTATATAATGAATTTTTATTACAAAGATGGAACCAAGGAATGTATTTATTTGTCAAGCTAAATAATATCAAAATATTGATACATGAAATTTTTCAAAAAATGTGTTTAGGAAGTTTACACTGATGAGAATATTAGTTTAACTGTAATTCACCGTTTGAACTCATATTTAGCTTACGAGGTAGTGTTAGTAAGACTAGAGAAAGTCTGAAAAGGTTTGTATCCATGGGCGTTTGGAGCGGAGTTAAGACTATTTATGTGAAATTTCGATTCATTTTTAGGTCTGTACTGAAAAAACTTCGATTTGAAATTCAGTTCATAGATAAATCTCATGACCATTAGAATATCCTAAAAGTTTCAGCCGAAAAGACTTTTTCTTTGTTGAAATATTTCATTTTCGAATAAACTCGATTTTAATGACATATCTATTGCAAACGACTATTTGTTGTATATTCTAAGGAGTATGAGATCTATTGATGGGCTGAATTTCAAATTGAAATTCCGTTGTTTGAATTTTTAGTAAGTGTCTAAAAAAAAGATCGAAAGCTCAGTAAAACAGCCATAATTCGGCTTCAAAGGTCCATAGACATGAGTCCTTTTATGCTTTTTCTAGTTTTACCTTATAGACTCAAAACGAATTTAAACAATGGAGAAAATCTCTATCTACTAATGATAAATATATCATACTATTTCATTGAAAGTACAGAAGGTCTATATCTTCAAATGACATGAACTTCTTTATTTCTAGACTTATCACTTGATTTAACTCTGTCGATACTAAAGAAATTGTAGAAGTTTCCTAACTTTTCTGCGAATTTCTAAGATGTGTCAGTAATTTCAGAAATCTGAGGACAGCTGTTCTACATCAATATATGCATGGAAGTGTCTTCTATATAATCGTGAAACTCGAATCTCGATATTATTCTGCATGGACGAATCATTCAACAGTTTCTAAAATGTCTCCTTCATTCAAGACATTGATACTTAACATCTTACATAATACAATAAAAAGAAACTTTGCTTTCTACTTACCACAGTATCAGCTTGATCTTGATTATCTTTCATTCGTAAAGCATAAAGTTGAAGAGTTTGTTCAAGAAATAAAGGAAAATAATCGTCAACAGATTGTAATTGCTCCAAGGTCGATACATCATTAACCTATAGATTAGAAATTTTAATAAGGTTAAAAAAAACCAAACGAAACTCTAATTTTGCATAATTTACTCTTCTTTGCATTGTGAATTTTTTTTGTTCAAAGATATCAAATAAAATATCTTTAATGCTTTCGTAGATTAATTTTCTTTCTTCTTGTTAAACCGACGAATATTTGATTCGTTCTCGTTTTAAACCAATAACAAAACAAGTTTTCTCGCCTCCGAAGTGTACATCAAAGAAAAAAAAAAGATAGTCATCAGAATTTATCTCATTTGCGAATTGAACTATCATTTGATGGGTCAAAAAATACTTTTAATAATCGGTTTATTTGCTCTTGCACACGCCGGTTATTCAGCAGCTCAACATCGTGTATACGTACGTCTTACTGAACAACAATTTGAACGTTTACCAACAGATATTATTGTTCAAACATTAATTGCTTTTCTTGCTTGTTGTATTGGTACAGTACAATTATTTGGTAAATTTAAACCAATACTTATTACAGCTGAGTGGCAAAATAAAACTTGGGATACAGTTGGTAATCGTCCATCATTTATGACATTTAATCATCGTGGCAAAGAATTATTTCGTTAAAATCAAAATTTTCCATTGATTCTTCTTTTTTTTTTATAATATTCTTTTCGTTTTTTTTGTTTGCTTGTCATTTTTTGTTTTTATTATATTCAACAGAAAAAAGGTCTTTTTTTTATTTTAAATGGAAGTGTGTGTTGATAGTTTTGAATCAGCTTTAGCAGCTGTACAAGGTGGTGCTCAACGTATAGAATTATGTAGTTCATTGGAACAAGGTGGTTTAACACCATCACTTGGTTTATTAAGATTAATTCGTCGTCGTTTATCATCAGAATTAATTATATTTATAATGATACGTTGTCGTCCAGGAGATTTTATTTATGATGATAATGATTTAAGTGTTATGGAAGAAGAAATTCGTTTATTTATAGAATCAAATCAACAAATAAATGGTTTTGTATTAGGTACACTTAATTCTGATGGAACAATTGATATTAATAGTTTAAAACGTTTAATACAATTAATTCCAAAAGATATATCATTAACATTTCATCGTGCTTTTGATTTTATTTCTAAATGGGAAATTGGTATTGATCAATTAATTGAACTTGGTTTTCAACGTATTTTAACAAGTGGACAAGAAGCAAATGCATATTATGGACGAAAATGTATACGTCAAATGATAAATTATTCACAAAATCGTATTATTATATTACCTGGTTGTGGTATAAATGTAACAAATCTTGAAGCAATATTACGGGAAACAGGAGCTAAAGAATTTCATGCATCAGCACGTATACGTAAACCATCAAAAATGATTTATAAAAATTTTCAAAAAAAAATTTCTTTAAATGGATTAAATAATGATGATGAAGATGATTCAATACAAGTAACAGATAGAGAAAAGGTTAAATTGATGATGGATATATATAGAAAAGTTTTCTGCAAATAAAACTTCCTTTTTGTCTGTTTTTTTTTGTTCTTCTTTTGTTGTGTTTCGTGATGTTAGAGAAAAAAACAAAACCTAAATGTTTTTTCTATGTTTTTCTTTTAAAGATGAAATGATTCGACATGTCTTATTAAATAATAGATCTTTGTGTTCGAAATATTCATCTTATTTATTATCATTTTATAAAAAACAAATCATTTCTTTAGCAAATTATCATAATGATTCAATTGAAGGAAATTTATTTGATGAAACAGTTGAAGAAGAGCAACGACTTTCATCTCAAGAGGCAACAAAAATTTTACAAACACATGAAGCTAGTATTGATCTGGAAGCCAATTGTCCAGTGAATTATTATGAGGTTAATTATCTCGGTGCTAATAACCCTTCGGGTATGTTGATATAATCATTTTGTTACAAAAGAAATAAAAAGCACAATATCAATTTGACAGATTATATACACTTATCTATAAAATATTTAATTATACTCTCTAAATTCTCTTTGGTTGGAGTAGAAATAATATATTTCTATTGATTATATAAGAAAGTTAAAAATGTTTCATTATTATTTTTCACGATATAATAATTAACAATGAAGAATATGCGTTGAGGTTCATTAAACAAAAAAAGAAGAGATTCCTTCAAATAGTAATATTGATTGTACGAAGAATTTTTGATATTTTGCAGGTTGACCATTTCATTAAAATTGGAATATAGACGTCGTGCCTCCTAAAAAGTTTTATGATACAGTCATTAATTGCTTTTGAATTAGTTATAAAAGAATCAATCTGACAAATAACAAAAATAATGCAAATAATGAATATTTTCTAATAATGAAAAAATGATTTTCTTGCAACATCAAATACACAATATCAATGTCTCAATATTCTCAGAGCGATAACTAGGGCAATGGATTATTCCAATGAAAAAAATGCACAGATCTGCCAATTCTGATTCTAACGTACAAGAATATTTGAATCGAAATCATTTTATGACATATGATAATTTTTTTTTAATCTCTTTACAAAACATTGAATTAATCACTTAGAAATTTATTTCAACAATATTTAAGAAAATGACTATCTCTTACAAGGAAAACGATACTTTTGAATTGAAGAATACATTTGTATAAATTTACAACTGCTTTTTTAGTCAAACTTGCAAATGTGCAGAAAAAATAGTCATTATGAAAATTGGATTCATTATGTGCTTGTTGTTCAACAATATTATTTTTGTCGTTCGTGATTCGAAAGATTTTTGTGATTTCTGTTCATTCCTTATTCATTGCCGCATGCCAATGTTGTTGTAGTTGTTTTCGGTGATATTATATTCGTAATTTTGAACGAATGATTTCGATTCCAAAAATGTCAATTGTGCACACGTCTAGTGGAAGCGTAGTTCATTCGAAGGTTTATTTTTCTAATAATGATGCATATTTGATTGTATATCTTGTGATGGAACAAGGATTGAGACAATTTGGAGCTCAGATAGTTAGGCGCTGTCTGATAGAAGAAGACTTGTGGTAGTTTAGCTGTTGTGACATCTATTTATGGGGGAAAGCTTAGTTCTACTTCTTGGCTACATCATTACTTACATCTGAAGTATAATTTATTTATAAAAGAAAAAACGAATCGTTCTATGCATCAGACACAACCTAATTTTTCAATATTTTTATCTAAAAAATCGTATATATTGTGTGTATTATTTATTTTTCTTGAATAATATTTAGATAAAATAAAGAGATTGATAACTATCATCCATTTTCTTAGAGGATCGACAAGCTCAAGCTCGTATCCGTTCCAATGATTCAAACATGTATCTATTCGGAGTATTTGATGGTCATGGTGGACCTTGGTGCTCTGATGCTGTGAATCAACGTCTTTTCCAATATATTGCAGTTTCTTTACGTCCACCTAATGATTTAGAAACAATAATGCAACAAGCAAGAACAATGCCGAGTCATGATCATCGTAATGTATCATCATTACTTTTACATTCCTATTATAATCCATATAAAGATATGAGAAATTCCAAAATAAAAGAAATTCATCAAATTAATTTATTAAAACATATTGAAGAAGTCTATACAACATTTGATAGTGATTATACAGATATAACTGGTGCTTTAGAAAGTGCGTTTATTAAATTAGATCGAGATATATGTGCTGAAGCAATACCAGTTGATACACTCGAAATTAATAAAGATTTATTACAAATTTGTCTTGCTGGTTCATGTGCATGTGTTGCATTAATCAAAGATACAGATCTTTATGTTGCTAATTGTGGTGATGCACGTGCTATTCTTGGTAAATCATTTCAAGAATATATCAATATTCTATATTAATTTTTTACGAAATTCAATCTAAAGAGAATGTTGAAGTACAATCCTGGGCAAAAGTAGCCACCTACCATGAAACGTTGCTATTTTTCATGATATAGAATTAATATTTTAAGTGCCTACGTACAACACTAAAAGCTGATCGTCAGCATTAGATCACTCTCTATCAGTTCAAATGTACTGAAGTTATGATTCGCATATGCTCTTTCCCTTGTTAAAAAAAACATGCTCAGTAACAACATATATGCTCAAAAAGCTTTGGTTTGCCGTTTTATTTTCCCACGAGTTGCTACTGTTTTTTTTTCTAGCATTAAAGACAATCCTATATCTCATCATCAAAGCCTGTGACACATAGTCAAGATCTGTGAAATTTTCAAAAGAATTGATAAAAGTCATCATGGGAAAGATGGATCTTACCAAAAACTAAGCATTTGCTCTTCAACAAATATTCGTAGTGAGAAGAAAATATTTCAGTTATTTTAAAATGATTTCTAACGAAGTTTGAACTAAAGTTAGCTACAATACCGAACTTTCGAATGAGAGTTTGGCTAGAAACATTTGTGTCAACATGATTGAGATGAGGTTATCAAAAAAGAACATGTTAGCTAGATCATATCTTCTTCTACATGTGTATCCATGAAGAGCGATTCAGTGCTTTTGATCAGAGTTTATTATTGCTCGCATGATCACAATATATTAATACAATATCGTAAAGAATAGTAGCACTTCATTAGGGATAGCTACTTTTGTCCAGGACTGTATATAGGGTAGAATTTGACACTCTTTTCAAACTATGACCGACGTTGTCGATATACGGTTGCAGATCGTCCATCGATAGTGTCTTGTTTCAATATATTAACTACTGCCTTACTGTATTTATGGAAGATTATGTAAAAAGAGAATGGAGAAATGTGTCCCATTAAATGTAAACTAAAACAATCTCCCTGTGATTAGCAACAATAGCTACATCATGTTGCATATTTTAACCCAGCAGAGATTGAGCTAACAGAGTTTTTTTTTCGGTTTCGCAGGTACTATAGATGATGATGGTAATTCATCTGCAATTCCTTTGTCAAATATTCATAATATAAATAATAAAGTTGAAATCAAACGAGTTTTATCTGAGCATCCATTAAATGAACATAATTCAGTTATTCGCGATGATCGTTTACTCGGTTTATTAATACCATCTCGTGCATTTGGTGATATACGTTTTAAATGGCCAAGAAATTATCTTCAAGAATACTTACAACCATATTATAAAAAAAGCAATGCGATACCACAATTTTATATAACACCGCCATATTTAACTGCTCGACCTGAAATAGTAAAACATAAATTAACGAAGAAAGATAAATTTCTTGTGTTAGCTACAGATGGTGTTTGGGATTTATTATCACCTGAAAAAGTTGTCGAACTTATATTTAATCATCAAAAAGGTATACGAAGTTTTGATCGTTTTGTTATAAATAAAACTGAAAATAATAAATCGTCAATTAACTTAAAGACAATAAGTAAATTATTATATGAACGACAACAAGCAATTAAAAATCAACCAATTGATCAAAATTCTGCAACTCATTTAATTCGTCATGCACTCGCTTATACATCGCAAGATCAATTCGATAGTAAACTTTTATCAGATGTATTAACATTCCCTCATCCACGCTCCATACGGGATGATATAACAATAACAATTGTTTATTTTGATCAAAATTATATTGATCAAATACAAAAGAAAACTTTGAAATAATTTTGTTTATTTTTTTTTATTACTTTTAATATATTTTTCTCTTCGATGATTTTCAACTTATTTTAATTTTATTTTCTTCTACGCATGCTTAACATCACGAATAAGTTTTTGTCATAGTTGAATAGATTATTCTAATTTTTTTATATTACGCTGAATAAATTGATAAAAATTTATAAAGAATACATCTTTTTGTATAGTAATCAAATAAAATTTAAGCGCGTGTGTATTTTATTTTCTTTTATGTTTTTCTAAATTTAATATTTACGCTTGCCAAAAAAAGAAAAATATGCGGCGGCGAGTACCTTTTGTACCTTAATAATAAATCATATAATAATAGCAATGTCACAACGATATATATTAACATCAAATATCTCACAAACAGATATTAGTAATAGTGTACATGAAATGGATATTATTGAAGAAGGTGGAGGATCATATGGAAGTGATTTATTGAGTGGCTCATATCCAATTAAGGTTCTTGCTTATAAAGTTGATACACCATTACCATTATCAACAACGACAAGTATTAATAGTTCACTGAATTATGCAGTTGAATTACAGATTGGTGAACGAGAAAAAATTGGTCAGGGTACATTTGGGTATAGAAATTTTTCTATATCAAAATTAAAATTTTCTTGTATTTTATTGCTCAGTATATCTTTTATTATGCGGTCAGTAATCATTTCAAAAAGGCTCAATAATTAATTTAAAAAGATTCAGAACTTAGAGTTTATTGCATTAGTAGTGCTTTCTTAGATTCCGATGGTCTACCACGATGCTTTTTTTTAACCTAATTATCGTATCGATGGCATGTTAACACTTAAATTTTTTGAAAATTTTTAACATTTATATAACATTATGATTTATTGTTGACTATTCAATTAGTTCTTCTTGTAAGCAAAATAGAAAAATGGTTATTCACGATTTAAGCAGTTGATTTTATTTCCAGACGTTTGGTTAACTATGTTAACATCATCTGTCAATAGAATTTATTATAATAAACAGTCTAAGATAAATGTTCAGCAAATATTGAACGAGCAAATAAGAATAAAACAAAGTTAAAAATAAAATAAAATATTATTTTATTCTTGTTTGCTCGTACAATATTTGTTAAACATTTATCTTAGACTGTATATTATACTAAATCTATTGATTGATGATGTCTGTTAAGGATTTGTCCAAATACGTGATTACATCACATTGTCTGTTTCTCCACCAACTACAACAGATCAATTACTGGTTGTATTCTGAAATGTTCTCATATGTCATACACTCATTATTTCGTTTCGTTTTTTGATATATTTTCGTGCAGTGATATATTCCTGTATGCTCTTATTACACATACTCTCTTGTTCTTCTTGCTCTCTTCTTTTCTACTTTCATTGGTTATTGTCATTGAATATGCTGAACTCACTTTCACAAAAAATCACAAAGTTTACAATATCAACCTAATTGACGTGGAACCATTCTTCTATTCCTCTATAAAAAAAAACAAAATGGTTCAATTAATGATAAAAGTAATATTCATTTAATGAGCAAATGAATTTTTAAATGAGCAAACTGAATTAGTTACTGATAATTTAATTTTATACTGATAGTTGGATTTGTTTTCTGATAATTTGTATAAAGTATTGACCAAATTATACTAAGCGTTTACAAACAAAATACTGAGCATGTAATTTGTTCCTATGAAAATTGTTTTAAAGTAAGAATATCGAATTAGTATTAAAATTATTTTGTGATATGAGAATTTGAATTAGATTGTGTTAGTTACTGAAAACCTAGCGAATAAATCGAACTAAGAAAGATGAAAAATAATAAAACAAACATTAAAAATTAGTGTTTGAATGAGTAGAATTGACAAAGTGAAATATAAATTCTACTCGATAATATTAACACTTAAAGTCCTATATTGGTTTCGAAAGAATCATGAAAGGTACTATACAAAAGAATTGCAGAATGCAGTAATCTTTGAAACAATTTATAATGCATAATCATCTCATGTATCTTTCTATACATGAATAAGAATTATCTCTTCTTTAATTTGGCTTCTTCATAGTCTCAATTTCTAGGATGCAAAGTTGCATCGTCTGAACTCAAAAAGGTTATGAATCAGCGAGGTTATTGATATTCAAGACAAATTTTGAAGTGATCTTTTAATCATAAATAATGTTTGTTATTGATTCAGTTAGATAATCAGTATTCTAAAATCAACTAGACACTCCAGTAAAATCACAACCAGTTTAGTTTTTATAAAAAATCTAATTAATTAAAACTCAATTACATGAAGTGCTAAACTTTTATGCCCTGTTAAGTTATATTTGACTAGCAGTACCTAGCATCCAGAAATCCAAAACTCAACAGCTATTGAAGTAAAATTCAAGAGAGTGGATCGAAACACAGGGATACAACCTCAGTGAATGAGTCAGAAAGATTAACGTATACAATCCTATTTAGGAGCTTCAAGCAATGAATCCCACTTGAATTTCTCGGATTTTCAATTAATGAACGGCGGATATATCTCTATCTATCCATATTGTTTTCTATTAAGATATTTTTCTTCATAATAAATTTATACATCTGTCTTGAATAGAAAAGTTTACAAAGCGAAATTAATCACAACACAAGAAATCGTTGCTATAAAAGAAGTTGAAATTGAAGAAAAATTTAAATCTCGAGAATTAGATATACTTAAAACAATGATTCATCCAAATATAGTTCGATTAAAATATTTTTTTCATTCATCATCCATAAAAGATATTTTATGTCTTATTATGGAATATATGCCAATGAGTGCTCATCGATTAATATCAAATTATCGACATAATCATAAAATACTTCCATTATTTTATATTAAATTATTTTGTTATCAAATGTTACGAGGTCTTGGATATCTTCATATACACGGCGTTGTAAGTAGGTATTTGTATAGATAAACTTTTTGTTTAAATTAGATTCTTTTTTCTTGTTTTACATAGGCACATCGAGATGTTAAACCAGCTAATATGATTGTTGATTATGAAGCAGGAATATTGAAAATTTGTGATCTTGGTAGTGCAAAAAAATTAAATAAAAATGAAAAATCAGTTTCATATGTAAAAATAAATTAAAAATTGATCGAAATTTTCAAAACAAAAACAACCATTTATCTTCTTGTTTTTTCTAGGTTTGTACTCGCTATTATAGGTATGTGAATACTTCATTTTGAAAGTATTTGATTATACACAGTAAAGTGCAAAAATCTTTGCCCTTAGCATTTGAACTACTTCTCAGGGCGGATACAATAGATATGGAAACCAAACATATTCACAAATAAGTCATAGTACAAAGTACAAAAGTACTACAATTAATATGTGATTCTTCTTGCCTACGAATTAATTAAAGCTAGTCTATTATGATTTTATTGATTTTACTAAATGATTTAGAATGACCAAGCTGATTGTATCACACTCCTCATGTAGAAACAAGTTCAGTTCATCGAAATTTCCCAGTTTTCGCTGCTGAACGTGACATGAATAGATTGACTAGAGATTTCCGATTGGATTGATATTCGAAGTGTTCGAGAATCAACTGATAATTTCGAATAGTAAAGTAAAAATGATTGCATTGCTTGAATCCCAATGATAGGCGGAATTACTTTCTGGATTAGCCGATGAGATGACGATTTGCAATGGCTTGAAAATAGTAATGACCGTCGATATTCTCTTGAATGAATACCAGTTCTCTAGGGGCATGAAACCTAAACTACCATATAACATGATTTTCTATTTTTTTTTCGAAATTCGTTTAACATCAATTCTTAAATTTTGTGGCTATCGGCGAATCATCTTTCTGAATAATTCGTTAGAGGTTCTGCTGATGAGCATTATTCTATTATAGTTTTTGCCCTTTGTGTTTGATACACTCCTTGATGCTCACATCCTTCAGCATCTACATGCTAACCTTGGCATTCCATAGAGCTAAATATTTCCATAAATAATCCTTTCGAGTTGATGCCATATCTTCATCAGGGATATGTGTCCACTTCGTTCATTAAACAGTTTTGTCTCAGTGTTTTCGTGGTTGTCTCGTACTTTCGTCGAATCAATCCACCAAACATCTTCTACTGAACGTTAGTGATATTATAAAAGGATGACACCTGTCAGGCAGTCGATTATAACTCTTCCCATGTTGTAAAACAGTTTACCGCTTCACTTTTAACTTATTAAGATTTCGTTGTCGAATTAGTTTCTCTCACAGCACAAATGTTTACGATGATTTATGGTTTACATAGCTACATATCGAACTCCTCTCATCTTTTGCTAAGTTTTCAAAAAATTCGTTCCCAAAGTTTAAAGAAAGTTCTCTTATTCGAGAGCAAAAGATGTATGCATCTTACTTTATTTATTGCTAACAAATTAGAGCTCCAGAACTTTTACTTGGTTGTACTGAATACACAACAGCTGTTGATATATGGTCAGCAGGTTGTTGTTTAGCTGAATTTCTCAATGGTTATGCTATATTTCGTGGTATTGATTCAAGTGATCAAATGTATCGCATAATAAAAATAATTGGTATTCCAACACGAGATGAATTACGTGAAATGAATCCACGTTATACAGGTTCAGTTGATTTAACTGTAATTACATTCACACCACGTACATTACGTGGTTATTTACCTGAACGTACACAAGAATCAGCATTTATTTTACTTGAACAATTATTAAAATATAAACCAAATGAACGTTTAACATGTCAAGCAGCACTTGCATCGGAATTTTTTTCTGAATTAAAACAACATTCTATTTTATTACCAAATAAACGTAATTTACCACCATTATTTAATTTTCGTGAAGATGAATTATCAAAAAATTCACATTTATATTCAGCTGTTGTGCCTGATTTTATACGAAACAGTCTTACTGACCTACATGATATTGATAATCATAAACTAATAGTGAAATAGATTGTTCTCTTTCCTTTTTCGTTTTTATTCTCACCTTTTTTTGTGTTCTGTATAATGTTGTTTTTCACATGATATCCTTTTATTGACCTAGCATTTAAATTGTGCCTATGAAACTTCGTCGTCGACATAGAGTTGGAAGAAGTGAAAATGATACAATATATTTAGTCGAAAATAACAATAATAATAATAATAATAATAGACATGAACATTCAAAGGTATTATTATGAAATCATTTTCCGGTTTTGTTCTTGATTTTTTTCCATATTTTTAGATAGGTCGAATTGCATGGAAATTAGCAAAAGGTACATGGAAAGCAGTTAAAATAGGTTTTCAAGCCGTTGTAAATAGTCAACCATTTTGTATGGCCCTTGAACCAACAGCATTAGCGACAACTATAGTTGAATATCAAACACGAAATAGAGAACGACGATGATTAATATCCTATTGATTATTCATGGGTATCAATAAAATAAATGATTTTTGCAATTAATGAATTCTTTAATTAAAACAAAAAAAAGTTTCTTATCATGTTTATATCTGATAAAAAGAAGAAAAAAACCCAAATGCTGTTCATCAATGTATGTTACAAAACATAAAATATCTGACAACATATTTGATTAGAAAATAAAAAGTAAAAACTACTAAACATCATACGTATAAGCACCGGGTGACGATAAACCTAAAGTTGAAGTTGATTTGCATAAATAATCAAATTGATTACTTTCATAATCATTATCTTCATCTTCTGATTCAATATTTTTTGTATATGTTTCAATTGTTGTTGTATTATGATGATGTTGTAAGTTATAAGATGTATCGAAACTAAATGTTTTTATTGATCGTTGACTACTTTGCTCCGATGATGATGATGATGATGGAAGAATATTTGAAAGTAAATTATGAGAAGGTCGTTTACTTGATATGAATGAAGTAGTATCTTCATAATCGTGTCGCTTATGTTCAATAGATGTGGACGAAGGAGGAAAATTAAATGTTGGTATAACATGAGCTCTTTCAGCACGATATGTTGAACGATCAGAAAGGGGAGATAAAGAATTTTTAACAATTGAAGTAAGTCGTTGAAAATAAGGTGTTTTTTGTGAATTAGGAGTCATATTGTTTTTAATAGATGATTGTTTCTTTATAGATTATTACAAAAAAAAATATCGTGGTAATATTTTTATTGTTTGATGTTTATGTTTCTTACTGATGGTGGCTTATGACATTCATTAGGATGATGTTCATGCTTTGAAGTATGATGATGAGTGAAAGTTACTATACGACTAGTTATAGGTGTCAGTGGTAATTTTGGTGCTTGAGAAGCATGTTCAATCTATTTTATATGAAAAAGAAATGACTAGTATCCATTAATTATTCTTAATGACTTCTTACAAGACGTACTTTAGATGAAATTCGTTTCTTGTGTTCATCAATACCGTTATCATAAACAACTGTTGTTATTGGTGTACGTTCATACTCATGCAACGATGTTCTTGGAGTCATATTCATTGAAGTAGGCTCATTTAATAATGGTAAAGATGATCTGTGTTCACAATGTTGTCGATTGACTTTATCAGTATCTGTTAGTTTAGATAAAAGTTGTTTTGGAGAACTAAAATAAACCTGTGAAAAAAATCTGATCGTCAAATAAAAACTATTAGGTATTTCTATATCTGTTAGTATTCTACATTTAGAGATCTATATCAGACTTACATCGATAAAAAAAACAAGTGGTTTTACTTTACATATTAATCAGTTTATTAATCGTATGTTAAATGATGAACACGGTATAAACTTATGAACAAGTTTCGAGAAAAAAAATTATCTGAGAGACATTTTCATTATAAAATATCGTCAAAAATAGTATATATATATATGTAGTAATAAAAATATGCAAAGTAGAGTAGAATGAGAGTAAACCAACAGCCGTCGCTATTTATTGCCACTGTTCTATGAAATCCCGCTTTATATTTTATCATAAGATGGAAGAAATTGGACCAAGCACAAGTACCTAAGTAATTAAGGGCTAACTTTTCTGAAAGTTGGCTCTCTTTTCATACAGCCAAAATGCATTATATGCTATCAATAGATAAATGCTAGTAGTCTCTCTAATAAATATGTTGCAAAGTAAGGGCTAGTAAATTTTTCTCACAAGAGAACCTCCTCAGCTGTCCCTTTCCGATTTCAATGATTTCTAGCCTGTAGATACTATATAGTGTTTTAATACAAACTGGGTTTCTATTGAGACTTGACTAAGTTATCGAATCTTAATATGAAACTTTACCCAACCAGAGAAGTCAACTAGATTAGCTTTCATAAAAGCAGTTTATAAGTTCTACACATGTCTATATGGTAGTGAAAAACAATTTTCGAAGTTTCTCGAATCCAAAACTTAAACTGTGCAGTGTTCGACTTACATTGGCAGTATATTTTTTGTTAATTTTTCTTCGATAACCCATGGATGTGTTTTAACCCACGAATTAAACCAATTAATATCATATCGACTATCAAGTACACCAGGCATTCGTTGATCAAGATAAGCAAAAATTTTTTGTCGTTTTGTTACAGATTCTTGTGTAGCAGCCCAATGTATTGGTGTTAAATTAGCATAATCTTGTATTCGTAAACAATCATATATATGTTTATCTTCTTTTTGTTGTTTTTCTTCTTCATTATTTTCATTGTTTTTTATTGATAATAATAGATGTAAAATAGATATATTAGCTGATCGACAAGCAATATGAATAGATGTATGTCCAGCAGAAAGACGTCTTAAAAAAAACAAATGTTCACATCATTATCAACAAAGCGAACAGCAAAACTTGTACGACAAATAAAACTTACAATTTAGGATCAGCTTTATTGACTAAGAGATATTCAACAGTAGTAATTTGATTGTAATATGTAGCTGTCGAAAGTACTGATTCACCATATAAATTCAATGAATTAATATCAACACCTATGAATGATTTATATTCGATGACTATCGGAATGAAATCATGGGGTCAAACGTTTTTCGTGCTTGCCTTTTTTTTTCAACATACTCACTATGTGTTTGCAAATATTTTTGAATTTTAAATGTTTGACCTAATCGTGCAAACTGACATAATTCGTCGACATTGGCCATGATCTGAAAACACAAACCTTTTCCAATGGCGTTTTTGTTTCGTTTGTTTTCATTCAAATACATTTAAATTTCTATCTTTGTTTTTAAACAAAAATTAGTCATGTTTGGTTTTTTTTTAAATATACATATACTTCTAACACTAATCAGACACATAATGATTCAACTGTTTCAAGTTTAAATACAAACAAAACAAAATTAAATTAAAAAAAATGTTTATGTGTTTCTATACGGGTGTATTCGTCGAGGTTTAACTGATGATGATAATTGTTTAAATGAATGATTTCTTGTACTAGTTGAACTAGCATTTGATGAATTCGATGATAATGTTTGTATGGTTGTTGTTCTTGATGATGATGCTGAAGTTTTTTTTTCTTTACGTCGATTTGTTTGATCAACTATTAATGGCCAAAGAATATTTGATGCAAGTGTATTTACAGTACGATCATGTTCAACTCGATCTTTTATTGGTGTTGAATCTTTATTTGCTGAATGAAGTAATGTTAAATATAAATCACTAACAGCATCATTATTATTTGTTGTTGACATTATTTCACTTTCAACTGGTGTTGATTGTTCAATCAAAGAATTCCAAAAATGATCATCATCATTATATTCATTATTATATAATGTAGTATTTGATGATATTAGAATATCATTCAAATCATTTGTATTTTTACTTTCAATTGGAATAGATATATCATTATTGATTATAGAATTTGATGTTATTTGTGATGATGATGATGCTGATTGTGGTGGAGATAGAAATGTAACATTATGTGAAACTGTTGTTTGTAATTCAGTTGGTTCAGGAATTGTAATCGATCTTGAACGACTTAGCCAAAGTGTAAGAAATTTTCCTTGACTATTTATTGTTAATGATCGACTTGATATATTTTGTCCATCAACTTTAATAAATTCTGTATCTAAACAAAAATAAAAAACAAAAGAATAATTTGAAGAATAATTTAAAACGAAAAAAACCAACCTTGACGTAAATATACATTGATTATTGAACGTGATAATGAATCAAATTCAATAACATAACATAACTCATATGTTATACCTTGTGCATTAGTTAATTGATCTGTTGCATTTATATTTAAACGATTTACTATTAATGCAAGACAAGGACTAAATCTACAATAATAACAAAAAGTATATTAAAAAAAAAACTTTATTTTATTTTTATTAATGTAACTTACTGTTTAAATGTTAATGTTTTTGTTTGATTTTGATCTCCACATCGAAAACATGCACAAGATATTTGACTAGATTCAATTAATAATGTTGTTCGTATTTCGCCGACATCATGAATAACATCAGTTATACTAAAAGAAAGCGAAAAAAGAAAAATAATCAAAAAGATTAAAATGAAATCTTTTATTTTCTTTTCTTACCTATTAGATATTATGCAATCACATTCTTGACATTGGCAATATTCGTTAAGTTCACTAGTGAATAATTCTTTAAGAAATGAATCAAGACGAAAAAGACGACGAACATTTTGTATGATGTTCGTATGTAAGGAATTTTGTCTACAACAATTAAATAAATATATTTGAAACTGTTTTATGAGAAATAAATATATAGAATACTACCAATTAACTGGCGGTACAGAATCAACGGCTCTTTACCTGAAAGCCGGTTTCCGTACACGCAAGATGACGACATATGAGCGTCATCAGATAGAGCTCGAAGTCTGATTCTATTCAAACTTATGGCCACTATCCGACGTCAAGCTACACATATCATCATCTTTTGGATGATACTCTTCTTACCTATAATGATAAAAATAAATTATTTATTATAAAAAGAAAGTTTTGTTGTTGTTTTTTTAATCACCCGATATTCATACCGAAAAACTTGGATTTAGAGTTTTCTTTTTGATTACAAGTGAGTGAAATGAAACATAAGTTTTGTTTTACTCACTTTAATATGTTTAGTAAAATATTGGAGTATTCATCCAAAAGTTGTGATTGATTTGTTGTTGTAAGAGAAGAAGAAAATAATGTTTTATCAAGGTTATGAAATAATGAAGATGAGATATTATTTGTTTGTGGTGATGATGATAATGATATTTCAACATAACGATGTAAGAAATCAGTTAAACAAGTAGAAAGTGTATAATAAGTCATTGAAAGCTGTCGAGCAGCGATCATTGATGACCATATTGTTTCGCTTGATACCGACGTCATTTGTAGAATGATGCTCAAGGTTGGAAATAAAATGAAACTATATACGTCTGTGTTGTTTACTTGAGTCATGAAATTCTCCAACGTAAAGGTTTCAATTAAATAGAAATGTCGAAAAAAATAAAATATTTATTTCTATGAAAATGACGATTTTCTTCTATGTAAAATTTTTTTGAATACTATTCTTCAAATATTTCTATAATAAAAAAAAATATCGAATTCATTATTTATCGTTATGATGCGACCTCTATCAACGTACTTAAGCAAAAAAAATCAAAGCTGAGCTAATACGAACTTTCTCGAGTACGAATAATACTAATCCATCACAGATATTCAACCCTGTTACATCATAATTTGCAACAATAAATGAGTAAAGTTTCTAAAAAATGAATGAGGATGAAAGAAATCAACTGTTTGTTTCATCTTGGAAGGAAAGAAATAGGTATCTGGTACCACTTTAATACAAAATATTTTTTCTGTGTTGAAATCAATCCATGAGCGATATCGGACAATATTGCAACTACAAGTTTTTCGAGTTGCACCCATACTCCTCTACAACATCAATAAAAACCTAGCTATCTCACTAGAAGATACAGGTATAACATGATAATTTGATCTAGAGACGCCACAAAATAAACTGTCGTAATGATATTAGAAGTCACTACTGAATTGATTCCGAGACATCAAGCTGTAATATTTTCGGGATGAACGAAGTCTTATCCGCTTTCATCTTGAAGTGCTTGATACTCGAACACGTTTTGCCAGCGAAATCAAAAGGTTTTCGTGATCTCTTAGAAAAAAAAACTTTATACCCTTTCGATATATCGTAACACCTCTATCAATTTTGACTACTTCGGATCAGCCCTTATTAAAAGAATAGAAGTAAATGTAACCAAATACGTGAGATGTAAATTGAAAGGTGATGTGTCTTGATCGTTGGTTACATAAATAAGACAAGACTAAGAAGAAGAGCTTAGCGTTCACTATTGTTCTTTCTTTATGTGAAAGATTACGACCTCAGTATCTAAACACGTTTTGAACAGTAATTAGTAAATGATCGTAAGCTTATGTTCTATAGTAACAATCAATAAAAGTATATGCAACAATGTATGCATAAAAAAAAATATATTCGATCATTTTTTAGATGTATGAGACTAGGACAAGGCCGGATATTTTTAAAATAGTTGACGAAGGTTGAATAAAAAATAAAAAAACGTGAGTTTATGTTGATAGATAAGATTCATCAGCTATCAATTAGATATTTATCACATATGTCTTCTTTGTACTCTAGATGCAGGCATATATCATTCGATAAGAATGATTGTGACTGAGATACGTTTATTAATTTTTGTCTTTATTATTGTCCTATTAATAATACCAACAATTATTGTCGACGCTGCTGCTGGTCGATGTTATTTATGTTCAGAAAATATACTTGCTGAATGTGTTGGTGGTGTTCAATCTGATTTACCTCTTCATACAGCTATTCTTCAATTTTATACGGAACCATGTAATGGTCAATGTGTTTTATTTCGAAGTGAAGATAAATTCACAAGACGTGGATGTTCATGGACATATGGTCATATGACACCGATGTCAACTGGATGGCATGAATTAACTCCCGGTATACAAGCGTATTTTTGTGATAGTTTTCTATGTAATAATGGTACTTATGAACAACCAGAAGCATCAATGATACGTAAAGGAATAATAAAGAATGAATTGAAACGACCTCCTAAACAAACACTTACTCCTCAACAATTATTCATCCTAGCAGGAAATACTCCTATAGTGATGCATACTGGTGAGTTTTATACATTAGTTCGTATAGGTTTTTGAGTGATTAGAGTCTTATTATCAATATTAAGCAATGGATTAGTACATGTAGATTGTTCTTATTGTTCTATATTTAATCACCTACATATAACAAATGAATTTAGATCAACCATTAATTCCTATGAGTACTGTACCACGTCAATTACGTCAATGCTATTCGTGTACAGCTCGTTCAACTGGTTGTGGTGAATATCTGGATCCACATTATGTATCAAAATATATTCGCCCATGTCCATCAAGTTGTGTGGTCTTTCGAAATCCATATGATCATAATTGTATGTATATCATCGAAATATATATTTTCTTTTTGTTTAAGTCAGTTGTTTTTCTTTACACAATAGTAATTACACGAGATTGTTCAACAACATGGCCACAAATTCATGCTAAAAGTGGTCTTCATAAATTACTTGGTTCAGATGCATTTTTCTGTCAAGAATCTCTGTATGATAAATAATTTCCTTTGATAAGTAATTCGTTTTTTGTTACTTTTTTATTTTATTTAAGATGTAACGGCATTAGTTTTGATTTTATCATGGGTTTGTACTAATTCTTGGTTTTTTTTTCTAAGAATACTTTCAATATCGATCATTATATCATATTTAGGTATTTTTCATAATCAATTACCAGCTGTTATTAAATTTCCTCCAATGGAAACCATCGAAAATTCTTCAACAATAATTAAAAGTTCTACAACAACGACTACGGCTGTTACTCTTCCAATTAGTACAACTGTTGATATTGATGATGATAATAGTGCCGTATGGGAAGATCCTGATTCAGATTTTCCCGTTTTCAAAACTACAACAACGACAATTTCAATTACTAGTACTTCTTCAACATTATTAACGGAATTTTCAGAAGTCACAGATATTGCATATGAATCATCAAGTGTTCCAATTCCATCTATGGAACATTTTGATTTTATTGAAGCATTTGGTGGTGGTAGTAGTACAATAGCTGGTGGTTTAGCTGTTGCTCAACAAGATACACAACTTAATTGGTGGGATTTCAATGATGCTTCAATTCCACCATTGATTGGATCTAACAATTCTCCTTTAATAACAAAAACAACAACAATAACAATGAGTACTTCCACATTAATTTCGTCAACAAGTGACTTAACAAATGTAGATCAAGATGAATGGTCAATATTTGATACAACTACAATACCACCAATCACACGTGTTGAACATTTATCAGAAACGAATTCTGAATTAGATTTCGATATGAATGATTATTTTCTTAATCCTATGTTATCAACAACACTAACTATGAATGTTCTAAATAATAATAACAATGATAATGATACTTCATCATTTGTACCATATTATTTTACTGATTATAAACCAAAAGAACAATTATTTGATTTAATAAAACCAATACCAACATTAGCTATGCCACCATTTTCTTGGATGTTAAATTTAGCAAATCAAAATAAAGGTCGATTACAAAATCAAAAACATATAATCAGTAAAACTTTATCAACAACGTCATCAACAATTGCAACCATGAAAAATAACAAAAACAAGAAAATGGAACCAAAAACCTTGATAAATAATAATAAAACTTACGATTATTTATATGAGTATTGCAATAAAAAACAATGTCAAAATGGAGGACATTTAGATTCTAATTGTTTATGTGTCTGTCTACCTGCATTTAGTGGAAATAATTGTGAAATAGGTAAAATTAGTTTAGTTTAAAAAAATATTGTATCTCTTTGTATTCTAGTACATTGTGACAAAGAACCAGCACATATTTGTGATTACGCACTACATTATGAATGTAAAAGTGATTATGTTCGTTATCTATGTCCTAGATTTTGTCAGATGAATATCTGTTCTTCAAATAAATCATCGTGAGTTATGATATTTATTTAAAATGTAAAAAGAAACTATAAAAAGAAACATTCCTTTCTCAAAAAATTCATTCGATCCACATTTTCTTCCTAATCATATCTTTATCAAATGTATTCATAGAAAAATGACGTTAAGTGTTTATTAAACAATTGTCATACGTCCTTACTCTATGTGGGTAAGTTTATGTCTGTATTTGTATGTATTCTATCATATCCTCGACCTACTCTCGCCTTTTTTTCTCCCATTCACGAGTGCGCACTGTCATTATTATCAGTATCATGATCATATGATGAAAAAAAAATATATATATAAAGAAAAAACGAATGTAAAATGTATAAAATTAAAAAGTTGCGTCACTTTTTTTGTCCTCTTCTACTTCATATTAAGCTTTTGCTTATATTCCTTCTGTTAGAAACATAACAAAAAAAAACGAACGAGAGAAAGTTTAAAACAAGACTGACTACAATCATGAAACTGAAATCCTATTGCACCATTTTCTCGTATGTTCTTTCTGTTCGTTAATTTTTTTTTTCTTCGTTCTTATTGCTCTTTAAAAGCAGAAAAAAGCGAAGAGGAAAAAAAGAAAAGCAATATGACAAAACGGCATGCCTTTAGTCAAGTATCGAACAACCGAACACCTTGTAGGTTCTGTATTCTTTCGTTCTAGACACCGTATCAATAAACATAAATAAAGAACAATGGTCAGCCAACCATCTTCACCACCACCCCGTGATTTCCTTTGTCCAATAACCCGAGAAATTATGCAAAATCCTGTTTTACTTATTGAAGATGTAAGTTTTATTTTCGTAAATAGAATAACTAGAAAATATTGTTGATTTAAACTAAATATAGGGTCATTCATATGAATTATATGCTTTACAACGTTGGTTACGCGATCATAATTCATCTCCAATGACAAATAAACCATTGCGTGATCGTCGTTTTGTACATAATTTTAATTTAAAAAATGCTATTGAAGAATATTGTGCTCAACAAGAGACACTTTCATTAGCAAATAGATTTCTTTCATTTAATATTCGTTCTGGTCGTACACCATCCGAATGGAATGATAAACCGACATTAAAAATTCGTCTTAGTCTTCTTGGTGGTTCTAATGTTGGTAAAACAACGCTTGCTCGTTGTTTACAATATGGTGCCCAATCATCCTTTGTACATTTAAATACTTCAGCAACTGTAGGACCTGATCTTGTTTTTTTTTATTTGGATCAATTATATGAAAATAAATATGTTATTATCATTCAACTTGCTGATATACCTGGAATGGAACGATATGAATCATGCTGTGATAATCATTTTCGTAATTGTCATGGTGCACTTTTACTATCGGATTCAACTGATATTGATTCACTTGAACGTACAGAACTTTATTGGTATAAACAATTACAAACAAAAGGAAAAGATGATGTTGAAGCTGTACTTGTTTGTAATAAAATTGATTTATTTGAAACAAATTGTGATGTACATTATCGACGAATTTTTTTTCAACGTGCAGAACATTTTGCATCATCACATAATATGCCAATTTATAATATATCAGCATTACGTGGTGACAATATTCAAGCAATGTTTAAACAATTAATCTTACGTATTCTACAAAATGAATCATTGCTACGACAAATTAAAGAAACTAGTATTGGGTATGATCAAACATCAAACCGTAAAGAATCGATACGACGTACATCGTCCATTCAAGTTTCAATTCAACCATCATCATCATCATCATCATCCTCATCATCGTCGTCATCTAGGCAAAATGATAATGATAGGAATTCATCTGGGGGCTGCTGTAAATTTGCTTGATTGGTTTCTTTTTCTTTTTATCGTTTTTTTTTGATTTTTGTTTATAGATAATATGGGGTAAAAATCATTTCTAAAATTGTATATAGAATAAAAATTATTTCAATTTTTTACACAATAGGATGTATTGACCAAAAACAAAAATATTTACTTATATCTACAGATAATAAAAGATAAAGATATTATAATAGTTGAAAACTGATAATAACAATACTTCTAGATAATATAATAGTGTTTACATTGAAAAAAAACAAACAACAACGTTTATTAGGTGTTCATTATCTTTATTGATTTAATTAGTTAGATTATTCTATGCAAATATAAATATTTATTGAAAAATTGTAATGCATGTACGAATTTCCTTAAATGTAATACTGATTAAAATGTCATTGAATAAACCCCAGTATATTCTGTTGTGAATTGTCTCGATGAACTTTTGCGATTGTCATTGAGCCTGTCGTGCATTTTCTATCAGTTGATAAGACTTCAAACTGACTTGTTCAAGTGCTATTAGATAAAGTTTAAAACACTGCAATATATCAAGGGTCATCGATTGAATTCAATCAGACTGGCCATTAAGAGTGAATAGATATGCGAGCTGAATGTGAAGTGCATTTTTTTTCCTTATGATGAATGTACCTTACGTTTGATATGTAGTGATGAATTCCATCAGTGATAATTTAATAGGAGAGAATTCAACTAAAGGTAGCGTATTGACTTGATTTTAAAGTAAATGTTTAGCTTCGGTTTGTAACTGAGGTGAATTTAATAGTATGAAATATCCTTCGGCAATGACTATTCTTCGCTTTTAGTCTCCCATGTCATTCAATGACAATAATCCTTTGAATATTCATTAATGCAAATAAATTTCAATAGATTCGTTTGACATACTTTTAATACCTTGTGATCGACCTTGTCAAGGTCATCAAACTTATTTGTATGATGATGATAAGTTACGTTATCGTGCTTGAAACTCACAACCAGTACTGGCTATATCAAAAAAATATATTCTGGTTTTGAATGCTTGTATAGAAACAAGTGCTAATCCTCTTTATTAAAACTAAGTGGTATACTTATTGGTTCAACAATATAGTTGAACTCTACGACAGCTGAATCTTGAATAAACCACACATTGAAACTCATCCAGTTAGCAACATATGTTCGAACTTTGGCATATGACTCATCAGATATTATCTACAATGGCACAGATTAAACGATAATATAAGTCATGGGTCCTCTTTACTAATCAGAATACGTTAGATTTACTATTCTTACGAGCTGCATAATAATTATACTCTTATGGAATGATTCTTATAGTGCTAAAGACATTCGAGTAACAGCAATGAGTGAGTGAGACAGTTATATTTTTAAATTGAAGATTCCGAAATTCATTTGTTAATTTTGTTGTTGAGTCTTTTTCATGTTCATTGAATTGGATAGAATCATCGTCTAGTGACCATGACGCGAATATGTGTTATATTTGATAGGTGGCATGATGTCTTAAGCTAAAACAAACGATATATAGTGTTACGAATGGCATATTCACTGCTGATATTATCATGCACTGGTGCTAATATAGTTGGAACAGATCCTGCCACTTGTGCAGTACCTTGTCTTACACACATGAAATGATCAAATGTGTCCTGTTGCAAGTCAGTTCCATTGATGGTATCATGATACTGAGCGGTAGCGACTGCATTCCAAAGTAGCCGCATACTACCCTTATTACTTCGTATTCAAACCTTGTTTTGACGCATAGCTTGTAGAAAAAGCTAAGAATACGGCGTTTTATTTTGAACTAGGCTAGATATATAAAAGTCTATCCGTCTGCATTTTAAATGGATATTGAACACAACATCTTAATGTGTTCAATACACCATTAACAAGTTCATTGAATTTTCAGCTTGATATTCGATTTCATTGTCACATGCGAACACAATATTATCTCTAAGATGTAATGTTAGTAAGTTTAGAATTGTTCGTACGTCAGCCTCAACCTGTTCAGGCACGTTGTGACTTTTCAATGTTGCACCATCATGAATTAAATCGAAATGATCGCCTCAGCAATTATTATGTGAAAAGATTTGTGAAAAAAAGAGCATAATTACCACAAGCACACATTCGAGGAAAGACTTTTGTCGAGACGCTGAATGACTGTGACAGACACTATAGAAATTCGAGCGCTATGTTTTTCCGACGGTTACAATTATCAATGGCATCGATTCTAGCAAAAACAAATTCATAAAAAGCTGATACTATCACAGAATAGATCTATTTGCCAGCTCGTTTAATGAATGTTTTCGAATTTAACAAGAAGAAATTGATGTCCTAATATTGTCTTATAAATTATATCAATAATGTATATTGTTACTTCATTATGCATATTACAACCACACTAAAAAAATTTCAAGTTGATTAGCCGACATTATCATGTGAATGGCAGAGAAGTTGAACATTAAGTTTTCCACAGTATTTTTATTGCTGTCACTGCTATGTCAAGTAAGAATTATAATGTCATATCATTTCGTGGTATATTATTATGCATGTATTGTGATAGGGAAAAAAATACGGAGACAAGTACAAATAGATTGAGAATGAAGTGTACTTCTATCAAACAACATATTTGAATTGCCAAAATTTTCATCTCTCATCAAAGATCTGTCACTGTTATCGCTGAAACACAATGTTCATGTCTATGAATATGAAATTTTAACTTAGTGATCTGAATGAGAGTAATAAGAATAAAAAGAGAAAAAAATCATCACTAAATCAATTATTTTTTCAATTATTGTATTAGCTCTTATTGTTAAATTTTCATTATCCATCATTAGACGAATTTTCTTATTGTTTAGCATATCTAAGTGGTATACGATTACAGAAAGCTTTCACTTTTTGATTTTCAGTTGATCATTGTTGGCAATATATAAGTGTACATTAATTGCTTCATACTATTTCATTTATGCATTCAAGTCTATGTTTGAACATCTTATTACACTAATTATTTTATATATTCTGCTGATTATTATTACGTACACCTACACATACGAAATGTACGTAAGACATAAAATATCGAGCCCCAAGTTAACAAGCTATTGAAAAAGTGATATAGAATGTTTGTTGACTTGTTGTGCAAGTGTCGTCGTTTATCAATGCCTATAGTTATTTATGAGTTGAATTCGCGAGCACCACTTTCACCTTATCATCAGTGTTGTAGTGTTTAGATAGTGATATATAGATTTATTATTATTCTTTATTAATTTTTCGTGTGATGAATATGAGAGATAAACCCACTATTTAATTAGAATTTTCTGGTTATTCAACCGTCGGTGTAGCACAATATTGACACATTGGACATTTTTTGCCATTCATAGTTATGTAACTTGTTTGAATGTTAGCACATGGTTGTTGTATTTGCATACACATCGGTATTGGACATATATTGATCTGTGAAGAAAAAGTAAATGACATGAATACAATATATTAATTCTTTATTAGCTATGCATATACTTACTGCAATAACACCAAGATCTGAATGTAAATTGCTCGGTTTATTCAGAGCTGAAAAGAAAAAAATTTAATATGAGCTCATACTGTGTACTTGCGCTTCCTCTCGGATTATTCAACTACCTGGTGCAGCCCATGCACATACAATCATACATAAGATGCATAGAAACTTGATTATTGTCTTCATATCGTTCGGTGGTTGAATAACAAATGAAAGAATGTCTTTTGCTGTATTACATTTTTAGTTATATATCAAGTTTATGAGAACTACTGCAGGTGTTGATTCCATGCGAATATTTTTTTAATTTGACGCAGTTGTAATTCATATTTAAAAGTCTGCTGAGTAAATTCTAAGAAACTTAATAAAATTTTTACTCCTTGTTGTCACTTTTAGAATAAGGCATTAACTCGATTTGTTTGCCTTCTCTATTGCAACGAAAAAGATATGTCACTATGTGTATTCTTATCTTACTTGTTCAAGTTTTCTTCTTTTTTTTGAATCTCGCATAAAGGGTCTCTTTATCATGTTATCTTTATAGAAGAATTATTTTCAGCATATACTATCGAATTCCTATACAAGTGCATCGTGAAATTTTGAGCATATGAAAAATCGTGATAAAAATGTGGTTCTTTGACAGCTTCAGTCTTTTTCTTTTATATAGTTTCACGATTGAATATTATTATTGAAATATGCTGATATGTAAGACTAATATGAGAAAAAAGACTGTAATACGAAGGAACACTTTGCTATGCTAAGAAATTCAAATCAAATTTGAATCCAACAGAAGTAATCTAGAGATATAAATATTAACCTGGTGGGCATCAGAGGTGTCTCAATAGTCTGAGCCGAAGAAAGGCGATCTAGGCCGTGATTGTTTCTACTGTTGTCAAAGTGATGAGAAATCAACACCGGCACTCAAAGGAAAGGTGCTAATAAAAATGGATGATTGAGAATGTTCAGTAGGAATAGAACCAGAATTAGAAAAAGTAACAATGAATGAAAGAATTATATAAGATGGTCAAAAAAAAATTTAGCGAAAAACAATACGCAATATCTTTCGAAAATTTTATATTTTATTCAAGATTCGACCCGTCACGATATCGACTCAGCCGGGCCTAACTCACAGTTTTCTATATAAAAAACAATTCAGGCGATGAACCTGGCTGGCTCGAGTTCAGCGCAGTTCATTGTGATCTCTAGTAAATATGATGAATATTATTTAACTTAAAGGTATCTTCACAGCAAGTAACGCTCTCTATATCAATTTCTAATACGTTGCTCCTGGCGCTTGTAATTGCTCAATCATCTGAGTCACACAATTTTCACTCCGTATGTTAGACAGCGGTTTGCTAATATAGGCAAGTATGGTTGCTTGCTTTTCATTTAATTATGCTTCACAGAAGATGATGGTACAACTGCCTATAATAAAGAATAAAATTTTCTTTCGTTTCTATAAGACAAATAAAAGAAATGAATTCTTTGTTAACAGAAAAGATTGAAAATATGTTGTAATAACCTATGTCTTATGTTTCAGAAGAACGATAATTGACAACTTCTTTTTACAACTCATACGATTTACTAATGTTGAAGCGATTTAAAAGTAATGAACTAGGAGAGTCTGCAAGTCGTCGTGTTAGCTATGACTGCACAGCAGATTACGCGAAATCGTCAAGAGCAAAATGTCGTCAATGCAAGAAAAATATCGAACAAAACGAATTACGATTGGCTCTTATGTTGCAAGATGATGAAGGTTATAAAAATACGGCTTGGCATCACTATGATTGCTTCTGGAAGCATCCTGAAACAAAAAAGCTCGGTGGTATTCATGAAATACATAACTTTACTAAACTAAAAGCAGTAGATCAAGCAAAGTAGAGTTAAAACAAAAACAAATTTTTTCATTATCTATTCAATGAAGAATGTTATTCTATGTTTTGTAGGATAAGAGCAGCATTTGCGAATCACAACGCAAACAAAATGACGACAACGAAGAAAGGAAATAGTAATAATAGCGACGATGAAGACTTTTCATTAAAATCAAAATCAATTTCCAAGAAGTCAACAAAAAAAGAACCTGCATCAAAAAAGAGAAAGCGTGCGATGGAAGAAGAGGATTGATTTATTATAGTGTGAATAACATGTCATTGTTTGCTTGCTCATTATTCCTATAAAAATAATTAACTACATTAAAAAAGACTTGAATAAATTTAATATGTTAATGTTTGCATGTAAAGTATTTGTTTTGCGAAAGTTTCACTAATATTGACAGAAAATATGCTTGGGTCATTATCTAACGTTATCTTTGAAATTCAATTTATATTATAAAACATTTTTCGTAAGACCACCGTGGTCGTAATAAATGAAGACTATTAAATTCATACTTATCTCTAATTATTTTAGATCATTTATGTTCACATCAATTGCTTTTGTCTTCGATTAATTGTATACTTCAGCAAAATAGCATTTTTTTATTTTTTCACTTTCATTCTCTGTTTTCGATAGACAAACGGAAAAAAACCAATGAACACATCTTGAACTTGTTGTAACGCTCCCGGTTGATTGGGTTTCACGTATGATATTCAATCCTTCTCTATCATTCACTCGTATATTATATATATTGTTGTCACCTTTCTATCCTCACGTTGCTGTCTTGACCTATTGCTTTTTCTATATTTTCTCTCTTCTTGGCCTCATCTCTTTTCTTTTCATCCTCTCTTCTTTTACTTGCATATATAAGTGTGTGCTTTGTATATAAACGATACGATTATATGATATATGAGGGCATAGAATAAAGTGTATCTCCATCCACATTAGCTTTCCATTTATCAGAAATTGTCACACTTGTGACATGCGAAGTCAATGACAATTTCTTACATAACATAAAAAAATGATCTGCATTATGATAAGTACGATTTCTTATGTCTTATTAGTTGCGCATTGACAAATTAATATTAGTCTTTATTAGCTAGAGAAACTCGAAATAAGTATTTTAGGTAAAGAAAAAAAGCAGATTTAAATCTTGCAGTATTAACAAAAATCTAAAATTATGAATTCAGTTGACCATATGGTTAAGTTGAATATTCGATAATAGAAAAAGCTGTATAACAAAGAAAAATTACCGAGGCCATGTCTTATCAATAACCTGTAGATATCCAAAATAAGTAAGAGAGATAAACATCTATTTTCGTATATTTGACAAACAGACCATTAAAGAATATTAAACGAACATTTCTTACCTAGTCTTTATAAGTATTACAATCAGCTATGATAATATACACGATTACATGGCTCGTTTTATCCTTATTTTATTATGTCACCGCTCTTCAACTTGAGTTTTATCCTGGTACACAACCTTACCATCAAACAGGTTCTCGTTTTAATAATACTTCTTGGGTGGTCACCACTCAAGATCCGTCAGAAAGATACCTCACATATGGACCTTATACAAAGGAATGGACTACGACTGCAGCTTCACGTGTTGATTTTTATCTAGGAGTAGATAATAACATTGCTGATCCATTAAACTTATTAACTGTTGAAGTTAATGATGCAGATATGAATTATATATTAACAAGTAGAAATATTTCACGACTTGATTTTGGTTATGATAAAATACAACCACAAATATTTTCTTTATACTTTTCGAGTACTATTGGACATAGATTAGAATTTCGAGTTTTTTATCATTGCTGTAGTGAAATCGTTCATTATAAAACAATTGTAAACGAGTTAGATGATGGAAAATTAGCCGATATTTTTTCAGGACAAGCAGGATTAGAACTAGTAAGCTCGTCAGTGTTTCCTACTCCTCATACAAATTCAAGCTCTACAGCAATGTGGAATGTAGGTACATACATTAAACCATTCGATGGAAGATGGTATGTCTTCTATAGAGAAGGTTTTTATGCACCTACACCAGACTTTTGCAATGGTATCGTACCATTAACACGTATTGCTGTTCGAAATTCGACCGATTTTGGAAAATCATGGTCAGAACCTGCTGTTGTTGCACTTCCTGGAAACTCAACTTTTGATAATTGTGCAGCACTTGATGGAGCTCCCTTTTACGATAATGAAACAGGCTGGTGGCATTATTTAGCTCAGTGTATCGGAAATAATAGACGTTGGTCTCTTTGTCATTATTCAAGAGCTGGATATGATCCTATGTCAGGTCCATTGATACCCAATTCAAAAAACCCAGTTGTTCAAGGTGGACAACTATGGAGTAGAATCTGTTCTGGTACTGGAAAGCATTGCACATTGACTATGTATGATGAAGGTACACCTGAAATCATTCAAAAAGTAAATGGCTGGTTCTATATTACTTTTCATGGTTGGGATGGACCTAACAATAAAGCTGCTCGTGGTATTGCCCGTACTCGAGATTTTGTTAATTATGATGTAGCTGGTTATGATCTTCCTGATGATGCTATATTCTCTCCTTTGGATTGTAATGGATGGAATATTACGTGGAATCCAGAAAGTTTATGTGTTGGTGGAGGTGAAGGTAGTATGGTCAAGTCAGGAGACTATTATTATCACTTGATTGAAGCTCCAGATGGTACACTAAATTGTGATACTACATTAGGAGAACAAAATTGGGTCTTAGGTTTATTGAGATCACCAACATTAAGTGCTCGATCAGGTGAATGGGAACAAATACACTGTAATCCTGCTTTTAAACCAGCTAAAAAATATGGCTGTGGTTTACAATATCATAGAATTTTTCGTGATGGTGATGACTTTTTCTTCTCTATGTTTGTCATTGACTTCGGAGTCAACAATTTAACAATGAAAATATGGAAGGTTGTACCTGGAAAGACTTATTTTCCAATTATGGTTAGTTATCCGTAAACTAATGACTATATAATATACATTTCATTCTGTAGTAGCTTTACTTTTTTTGAAAAATAAATTTTAGTATTTACATTATTCATATTCATTATCTTAGTATTTCAGATTTTCTTATGTCACGTCCATCAAATATTAGATTGCAGCCATTGTATTGAATTTCGTCAGTTTTATATGCAATGGCTTTGGAAAAATTCATTGTTCAATTTTATGCAAGTGCAAAGCAATAGACTGTTAACCAAGCTGAATAGATTTTTAAGTCATTAAATCGAATAAGAAAATGTGATCAACTGAAGAATATCTAACAATAAGTTTGAGATTCTTCTTCCATTTCTCTTTTTTTAGAACGAGATTATTTTTACTATTAGTGTTTTTAAGGTCCAGTAAAATAATACTACAGATTAATATCTTTACATGAGAATATGATTCCGAAAAATGCTGATCTTAAACTTTATTGTAGCACTACAGTTTTAATGATTAGTAAGCTTTCTATGAATTCTTCGATTATTACTAGAGGGAAAGGTGAGACAAGTGACAAAATTATTTGTTTTTCTTAATGTTTGTATATAGAGAAATACAGCTAAGACAATAGTAATTTCATGAATGATGGATAAACTTAAAATGCACGCCATATCGTAATTTTGTTTTATGAAACAAAATTACTTGACCAACTTGTTAATCAAATATTGAAATTTCTCACCACGTGAACGAGCTAACTAAGTTACTTCTTGGGTCTTTCCTACGAAATTTATCTTAATCCCAAATCAGTTGCCTTTTTTTCTCTATCTATTATTATTTTAGATTTTCGTTTTGTTGACACTCATTTGATATACAACAACTTTCAATCAATAGCATATGAGTCCTTTGTGGATTGTAATATTTTTTTATCTAATATCAATAGAAGCACGTTCATGTAAGAAAAAACCGTTTACCTTTGACGCACGACCAACTCCTGCACAATTATATTGGTTAGAACAATCAGATATTGGTTTCTTAATTCATTATAATATGGCATCATATTTACCCGTTGAATATGATGGTTGTAATCGTAATTCAACATTAGTACCTGATATTAAACTTTTTAATCCTTCAACATTAAATACTGATAATTGGGTACAAACATTTATGGATGTTGGTGCTAAATATGCTATTCTAGTAGCAAAACATAATTGTGGTTTTACAACATGGCCAACACAAGTTCAATTTGAATTAACGACGAATGAAACAATCGCTTATAATTATTCTATTTTGTACAGTCCTAAATCAGGTATAGATCTTGTTAGAAGTTTTATGCATTCGTGTCGAAAAGCTAAAATCAGAACTGGATTATATTATTCAGTTGTATGGAATAATTGGTTAAATGTACAAGATACTCGTGTTCAACCAGGACCATTAGCTCCAGGTCAAATGTCAATCAATCAACAAACATATGAATCAATTGTTTTACAACAATTAGAAGAATTATGGGTAAATTATGGAAAATTATTAGAAATATGGTTTGATGGTGGTTATTCAGAATCATTAAAGAATGGAATATTATCTTTACTAGAAAAATATCAATCGAGTGCATCAATTTTTAATGGATTTGGTCTAACAAATAATAGTATTCGCAGTATTGGTAATGAATTTGGTTTTGCTTTCGATGACACATGGTTAACTGTCAATGCTAATGGTCAAGAAGATCCTAATGGTGATTATTTTTCACCTCCTGAATGTCCAACAACGTTACAAGTTAGTGATCGATGGTTTTATGGTGGAAATGACTTTCCTATTCGACCATTAGATGAACTCATTCATGTGTATCATACATCTGTTGGTCGAAATTGTAAATTAGTATTAGATTTAGCTGTTAATCGAGATGGTATAGTTGATCCTAAGCATGCTAGAAGATATAAAGAATTAGGTGATTTTATTCGAAATTGTTATAGTAATTCGTTGCCAAGTAATTTTACTTGTTCAAATAATAGTTGTATCTTAGAATTTTCATCAACTCAATTAGTTGATCGCGTTGTTATTCGTGAAGATTTAAGAAGTTCAGCTGGCGCTACTATACGTCAATGGTCTATTGATGGATTAATGATGTGGGGAGATTGTATAAATTGTTGGATAGAAATTCCATCAGCGAAAGGACAATCAATTGGAAATAAACGAATTGTTTTGTTTGGCGAAGCTGTATTGATACGAGCTGTACGATTAAATATTTATAAAACATCAGGAAATCTACCTACTTTGGCTCAATTTGATGCTTATTTATGTCAATAATGGATTAAAGATGAACAAAAGTGACTTCTTCCTTGAAAAACGAACATTGTTTTTTCTTTAGCTAGTATAAGTATAAAATAAAATATCAATCGTATATAATTGTCTTCAGGGCAAAATAATGCATCGAAATTTATAAGATAGGTCGCATTGTCATGATATTGCGCCATTATTCAGCTACATGAGCACACTGAAGATAGAGCTGGAATTGGTAGGATTTTTCCTTACTTGCATTGGTCTAAACCGTCAGTGGGACCGACTGTTATATCGGCATGAGTTATTCTTTCTCTTTCTGACCGTATAAAAGTCAAATCAATTTGTGGATTAGTCATATCTTTTTCCAAATCACTATAGTAATGGTATAGCAGCAATACTTCAAGACTACAGCGCATATTACTATTTATTTTTCTGTTCTTTCTCTTTCTTGGCATCTATTAATGGACAGAAGACATCAAGGACTACAAGCTCTATATCAATTTTGGACTTTGCTTGGCTAGTCTTCATACATTCACACTCTTGACTAACTGTATACTGTATCTATCTTCCGCACTACATTTGCTTTTCTATGCCTTATGTTTGTGAAAAATATATACTATAAAAGCACAAAACACAAAAATCCTATCCAAAACATGAAATACAAAACAGCTATTTAATTTTCTTTTAATAACATGACGTCATATTAGATTTAGTTGAAAGAACATAATCTGGAAACTATGACGAATATAGACTTAATACAATAGTCGGATGCATTTTTCTTCGTCGAGAGGGCTTTCGAAAGCAGTAATAAATTTTTGATTTGTGGAAAAGAGCACTTTTATTTTCAATTTTTCGATAAGAAAATATATAAAAACCATCAACAAAATCCCCACCAACTGGTAAGGAAAAGTGACTTCCACCGATTGTTAAAAATTTCTTTACTAGACCAGACCAGTCGTTTACCGTTACCGATCGCAACTCTGGATCATGGGTCTCGGGACCCGAAAACTATATTATGATTGTTATTATGTATTTTATACTATAATTCTAGAATATAGTAACTATTATATACTTTATTTTATTGCAAAATATTGATATACGTTTTATTATATGTTAATAATATACATAAAACTGTACTGGTTTCATCATTCTAAAAAAAGCTTTCTGTTCACATTTGCCAAAAACTGGAAACGTTAAGGTATAGTATACTGTAGGATACAAAATTTGTAGGATAGAATAGGGTAGAGTATAAGGTATAAAAAAGTCTTACTGTGCATGACTCTGATCCGCACCCACATCCACACGTTCCCTTGCTACGATGAGAACTCGATGTACACAGATCGCAAGTATTGGCTTGAGCTCTATTACTCTAGTTAAGCTGACACCCCACCATTGAAAATTTCATGCTTCTTCTGTTCCTAGTAAAGTTTTTATCGTAGACGGACTTTTCATGTTTAAGTAATGAATCATTCTGTTTCTCTCTCTAGTCACTGAACTGGCATATAATAAGTCATCCATTAAAAACATATTCTTAGTAAAGATAAAGACCGTGTCAGTGAACGAAACTAATGCGTTGACATTTTGATTTTCTTGATAAGAAAATACATATTAGGATCAACCATACAAAAAAAAATGTGAGAAAGCTTATCAATTCTTTTTGATGATATTGACATGCTCTGTAATATATATCCATATTATCTATAGCAAGTAAACAAAGTTGAAATTAATAAAAATGACTGATAATTTGGTCCAAGTCTTTGCAGATCAATAACTGGCAATATATGTCTCTTTCAATTGAAAACCATTTACTCAGCAAGAAAAACGATTTTTGAGTGGAGCCTTGTGAGACAAACGAGAGTTTTCAAGATACAGAGCTGTCCGCAGGCTTCTATTTTTGACATATTAGAAAACTAATGATCATGGTTCATCTTCGAGTTTCATTCATACTTACATCCGCTGTGATCATAGCTCAATGAATAGATGATTCGCTGGTAATCTTCGTTTTCAGCAAATACAAAACAAATCATATTTCTAATTTTATTGCATATTTTAAAAGACTATTTATTAATATATTTATTTATCTTTTTTCTTCGTTGTACAAATAAAATAATATTGCAACAATAACAACAGATGTTTTCTAAAGTGCTAGTTTTTATTTTTTTTTTTGTATCACATCACACATAAATTGTCTTAAGACAGAAAAAAAAAACAACTAAAGTACAATGAACCCATGTAATTAGCTACTTCTGTTTGATTGAAATTGAATAACAATGAATAGATAATATGCATACAAGAAGAAGAAATGTCAAGAAGAAATAACTCAATTAATGTACAAAGATAAGTAGAGCACCGGACATTTCAATAGTTCGGTAAAGATCGAAAGAGAAAACAAAAAGAAAAGAAGAACATTGGTTCAAATAATTGATAAATATTTGATCACTGTTTTAAAAATTTAATTCAATACAAATCAAGTAAAAATTTAATATGTTTCATCGACTTCGTTACAATCATGACCAAATTCTTCACATTTTTCACAATATTGTCGTGGTGGTTGTACTACTCTTTCATGTGAATGATGATCATTATGAAGTTGATCATCTATCATTGAACTTTGTTTTGGACAATCATCAGTATCATGTTGATCAAATACTTCACACATGTCACCTAGATATATATATTTATTTACAGATAAATATCATAAAGAAAAATTGAACTCTAAAACTAACTTACAATAAAGTCTAGGAGCAGATGATTTTCCTCGTGTTATTGTATTTTCAGGTAATTCATCATCTCCAACAAATGGATTTTTTTGAAATTCAATTTCTTTTTTCAAACGTTCATTAGTACTACGTAAATCAACAATAACATCATTGAGAAAATTGATTTGACCTTCAAGTGTTGCTCGATCATCTTTAGTTGCATTGATTTCAATTTGTTTTTGTAATTTTTCTATCTGATATCGTGCTTCAGTTAATTCATATTCAAGTTGTTTTACATGACCAGTTGCACTTGAATTATTTTTATTTTCAACTCCTTGAAGATTTATAATTGTTTTTTTTTAAATAATTATTTAAAAAATAAATTATTACCATGAAGTGCTTCTTGAAGTTGACGTTTTAAACGAATTTTTTCTTGTTCATGTTCAAGATTACTATTTTCAGTTTCAATAAGATATTCACCTAGAAAATATTGATTTTTTGAAATACAATCCAACACGCGTATTAGCGTGTTATGGTAGAGAGTCGATGATTTAAGAGACTGATTGGAAAAATTTTGCTAAATTTGACTGAATTATGTAGTGAGGTGAGTGTTCAATGTTTTATCCAGATGATCCCTTTTGAAAGGACAACTTAAAACTTCACGATGGCCCAATCGGATCTTAGAATGGGCATCATCCTCTCTGATCTCGTACTAGATAATATTTTAATATTCAGCAGTCATTAAAGACGATGACTGGCTCGTAAGGAATACTTTTCTTCTGTCATAGACTGCGATCTTAGTATGAAACACACTTGAATTTAAATCACAAATTGAAATCTATGTGAATGAATCTCCTCTTTTATAATGTCAACCTATTTCATCGTGTTGTTACATTTTAATCCCACAGGAATTGCACGAACAGCTCTTATGGAGAAAAAAACTTACTTTTCATCGATTGTATTTTTAATTCAAATTCATCAGTTTTTTCTTTTAATAATTTCTCGTGTTTTTTTTTATCTTCTAAATATTGTCGTTCGAAATCTGAATGTTGATTAATTTGTTTTTCAACAAGTTCAACTTGAACTTGTTTCATATCATTGATTTGTTTTGTTAATTGATCAATAAGAGCTTGTTTTTCATTAACAATATTATCATTTGTATTTTTTAATTGTTCATTTGATGTTGAATATTTTTGACATTCATTTTGTAGATCATTATATTTATTTTGTAAATCTTGAAAATCTTGTTTTAATGTTTCATTGTTTTGTTTTAAATTTTCATATTCTTTTGCTAAATTTTCATTCTTAAGAATAAGAGAAAAAAAATATATATATTAATGTTCATTGTAGAGATTGAAGAGTCAGTACTTGAATTATCAATATTTACAAAATGGTCAGCTTATTTTTTATAATTACCAGTAAAAAGACAGATTTTATACTCGTAAAAACTTCAGACTTGGCCAAGGAAAAAAATATAGATTTTATCAAAAGAATTTTTCTTCACATTTGCACACCATTATGATCATCGTACTCAACTTCAACTTTATAAATAGTAACGCTTTTTTTTTACTGCCTACATTATATAACAGTTAAATAGTTGGTCTACGACTAAGTATATGAAGGATCAAAATTTTGAGTTCTAATACCCATCGGAAGAAAATTATTCCAAAATATATTCATATTACATCTAAAAAATTCTTCAACGCTAGTCTTATGATTTATCTTAGTCGACCATCAGTACTTTTTTTGAGTCATGTCTCGTGAATTCAACTTTGATGCATGATAATTTAAGATCATACGCTTAAAACTATAGAATATTTAACTATAACCTTTAGTGACGGTTGGAATAACGTTTCTCTTGTAGTCTCGGTTCTAGTGTCGAACATTGCTATCCATGAAACTTGGCTTTGTTGCATTTGCAATAAACTGTTCACTTAATCAACATTATCAAATGTAGTCTCGTGACATCAAAATATTTGGATTGCTTTTTTTTGGCAAGATTTTTCGTTTTCTATTGATTTCATAATTTTTTTCCATATCTATGTCGTACATAGGATCTGAACTCATGGCTCAAAAGAAAAACGAATGACATTATAAAGCTTTTCAATTCTTATATTGACTCTTTGATTTAATTAACTTGTAGGAAATTTTATTTACTACTGTCTAAATCTATTAACAAACCTAATTCATAATTAACTGATCATTTCATTTATTTTACTGATAAAATATTTTGTTTCTAATTGTAATAAAGTAAACTTACACGTTGAATAAATTCACTTTGTGTTTGTGCATTTGTTTGATGTTTTTCATCGAATCCTTTTTTTAATTGATTTATTTTACTTTCGTTTTCTTGTTGACTATGTTCGATTTGTTGATGTAATTCATTTTTTTCTCTATTTAATTGATCTAATTTAGATTGATATTCTTTAATTTGTTGATCTTTTTCATTGAATTCATTTGTTTTTGTACGATCTATAGATGAAAAACAACATGGATTAGTTACAAAAACAAATAATCAGAGAAAGAGAAAAAGAAAACAAACTTTGATTTTCTAATTCGGTTATTTGTATTCGAAAAGATTCAATTTGTTTTTCAAAATCTTGTTTTAATTTATTAATTGAATCATTTAATTGTTGTTCATTAGAAGTTTTTTCTTCTTGTAATTTTGTTAATTCATTTCGAAGATCTTGTGTTTCACGTATAGCTTGATCTCGTTTACTTTGATATTCTTTAATTTGCATTTCATAATGAGTTTCACGTTCATTTAATGCCATATTTTGAGTACGATCTATTTTAATAATAATAATAATAATAATAGAAGAAAAAGATAGACGAAAAAGAAAAATCAAACCTCGATCTTGTAATTCAGTTAATTCAGTTTTAAGAATTTCATATTGTCTTTCATAATCTTGTTTTAATGTATTTATTGTATCAATAGACTTTTTCTCATTGGAACTTTTTTCTTCTTGTAATTTTAGTAATTCCGATTGAATTGTTTGAGTTTCATGTGTTGATTGATCAAGTTTATTTTGATATTCTTTTAGTTGTTGTTCATAATGTGATTCACGTTCATTGAGAGTTGTATTTAATTTTTCTTCTATAGAAGAAAAACAAAAATTTTGTTCAAGAAAATAAAAATAAAAATTATTTAACCTCGATTATTTAATTCAACTAAATCATTTTGAAGTTTTTCACATTGTTTTTCATAATCTTGTTTTAATGTATTAATTAAATCATTAGTTTGCTGTTCTTTTGAAATATTTTCTTCTTGTATTCGTTTTAATTCACTGCGAATTTTTTCTGTTTCATCAATAGCTTGAGTAATATTTGCTTGATACTCTTTTATTTGTTGTTCGTATTGAGATTCACGTTCAGTAAGTGTAGAATTTGCTGCTTGATCTATGAAAATAAGGAAAGCAAATTTTTGATTAACAACCAAAAACAAAATCTGTGATATATATACCTCGATTTTGTAATTCTGTTTTTAATGATTGATTTTGTTTTTCTAAATCAGGAACTATAGTTTCTTGATATCGTTTGAGTTCAACAAGTAAATCATTAGCTTGTTTTTCTCTTGTTTCTTTCTCTTGTTGTAATGTCGTTAGTTGAGATCGAGTCTAAACATTGAATAATAAAATACTTAGAAATATTTAATTCTACTGTTTATAATCAAAGTTAATACTCTGTTCTTATTAGATAATAACTATCAGTAAACTTTGTGACCAAATTCAAAACTGTGCCTGTAACAATGCGAAATAGAATAGGTATGGAGTGATTAGAGTAAATCATAGTGTGAGACAATAACTGATTGCACGAGGTGCGAATATCACGGTTTCATTATTAAAACAGACTATGACTACTGCAGTTGAAAGGATGAATTGCATCAAACGAATATTCAAATTTTGAATTTATGAGGGTAATATTTCCATTAGAGTATATCTTGTACTTGTATTTGTACAGCTCCCTCATGAATATAAACTTTTACTTTACCGCATATCATCGCTTGGATTCCAAAGTAGAGATCTCATTTCACTTCGATGTTGTCAATATCTGCAAGCAATTGAACAAAATGTTCAGCTCGTGGCTACGCAGATCATTGAACTTTCGAGCTCTAGTTCAATATTTGCTGTTGCATGGGAAGTTGGTGATAAGCAATGTTGTCGGGTGTACTTAAGAGAGTGCGATAGAAAAGTTGCTACTCATTATGTTTTTAAAAAAGAATGACAAGATAATGAAAAAGATTAATAAATAGTACTTCGATAAACTGTGCTCTCTCTCTCTCTCTTGAATATTCTTGTAATGATGTGTTGTATAGGATGCTTACAGTTACTCTGCAACTCAAAGGTTATTTCAGTAACGTCTATCGGACATTAAGTTGGGATCCGTAATACGAACCTCAGATGGGAATCAGATTAGTATTTTATCGGTGGTGATATGAGAGTGAAAATTTAAAAGTTTTTGACAATGACGTATATTCTTAGAATTGAATATTGTTTTGTTGAAACATACCTCTTGTGCTTCGTTGATAGATTGTTCAATTTTTGATTGTTGTTCTTTAAGTTGTTGTTCATAGAAAGTTTCTTTATCAGATAAAGCATTTGTTTTAGTTTGTTCTATAAGATTGAATTATAGATTAATAAAGAAAAGAGATATAATACCTTGATTTTGAAGATCAATTATTTGTGTTTTAAGTTGATCGATTTCTTGTTGTTTTTCTTTTTTAATTTGTTCAATAATATCATGGAATTGTTTATCTTTATCATTTAATTTTGATTCATATTCAGATTTAATTGTATCAATATTATTTATTTGGCTAGTTGTTAATTCACTATTATATTTTTGTTCTAGTTCATTAAAACGTGTTTTAAATTCATTTTCATTTAATTCATATTGTCGTTTTAATTCTTGTCGATGTTCATCGTGTAATGTTTGTTTTTCAAGAGTTGATTTTTGATTAATTGATTCAAGTTCAACAAGTTTTTCTTTAATTTGTTCATAAATTTCAATATCATTTGGTGATAATAAACGATAACCATCAGGTATAGTTGATGTTGTTAGATGATCTTTATTAGCATCAGTTAATTTATATTCTTCTAATTGAAATTCTAAATCTTCTATACGTTGTTTTGTTTGATATTGTTCTTTTTTTAATTCTTCATTTTCTAATATTTTTATATCATATTGTTGTTTAAATACTAATAAACGACTTTCCATTTCATCAACTTGTTGTGCTGCACGAGAAAATTCTAAACGATCTTGTTCACGTTGTGATTGTAATTTTTCAATAAATATATCTTTTTCTTTGATTGTTTGAACTAAATTTGACATTTGATTTGATGATGGTGTTACAGCAGCTAATGTAGCAGCTGCTTGTGTTAATAAAGATTTTGTATTTGGTGTTGTATAAAGATTTGTATTTGTTGGTATTTTTTGTTGTTGATTTTTTGCTGGTGTTCGTGTTGGTATACGACTAATACTATTTGATGATGTTGAAAATTCTGATAAATTTGAATGAAGAGATTCTTGACTTGTTGAACGTTGTAATTGACGATTATTATTTGTACTTGATGATACGGATGCTTTTCGTGCTATAGTTTGTGATTGTAAGATTTCATTAGTTGCTTTTTCAACACGTCCCAATGGTGAAAAAAGTCCATAACGTTGTTGACATGTAAAATATCGTTTTCCACTAACACTACCATCATTTTTACCCAAAGGTTCATCAAGTTGAATACCACACCAAATACCTTCAGCAACATGAATTTTACCAAGATATTTTAATGTACCATGTTTTGTTCCACTAACAACTACTCGATCACCTACAACAAGTTCTTGTGAAGATGATGGTTCAGCTAATACAGTTTGATCATTTGTAGTTGTACTAGTATCAGCTGCTGTTGTTGTATTTATTAATGTTGTATCTGCATCTTCTCCTATAAAAAGAAAAATATCAATCATAATATTTTATAATACTGGTAAAAAAGAAATCTAAGACCAACACATTTTTATTTCCATCAAAAGCAAGTACTTAACCCAAAATCAAAACATCAATGAAGTTCTCTGTGAAACACATTGCGTATCGAAAACTATTAGATGGGCTATGAGAAGTAGGTTTCTAAAAAATGAAGTGAGAAAGTTCTCAAGTCACCGCCGACTGCCCATGACCTTATAAAGAGAAGGTCCTAGGAAATGCAGTAATCTATTATTTTATTCACGATTTTTCTACTCTTCAACATGAAACTCACTCTTTTGAAAACTACCGTATCTGGTTTTTCCAGATACTTTACTATCATAGCCCATCTATAAAGTTCATACCTTTATCTAAATTCGATATTGAAGTCGATGATTTTAAGGTATCAGTTAATGGAGTTGTTTGAACTTTTATTTGATCGGATGTATCACTATTACTGCTAGCACCATTTTGGGTAAGGCGTTGTACTTTAGTCGATCGACAGAATAACCCACGATTTGGTTCAGTTTCAAAATAGCGAGTACCTTCGTATGAACCATCTGAAAAATACAAAAAGAATATTATATGAAATTATTTATATATTTTTTTTCCTTCTGCTCACCATTTTTGCCTTGAGTTTCATCAAGAATAATTCCAATCCATTCGCCTAAAATTTTAAAAAAATTATAATTGTTTTTTTTTTAATCTAAATCTAAATCAAAATCATTTTATTTTTAATTATACCATCAGCAAATTTTGTTGGACCAATAAATGCAACAGTTCCTGGTTTTCCATTAGCAATTACACGATCACCAATAGCCAATTGATTATTAGATGAATCTCCACCAGTTGGACTCGCTTGTTGAGATGAGGTTGTTGTTGTTGAAGTTTGTTGAGGAGGACGAAGACCTGATTTAGTAGTGGTTACATGTTTTGGTGTTACTGGTAACCGACTCGTCGGCAATTTACTCATTCTAACAAATATCTACAACATCATTTTCTTCTTCATTAGTTAAGTCAAATATCAAAGTACAATAAGAAATATATATATATATAAAGAACAAGAAATAAAAAAGAGAGAAGTCAATTCATTTAAATTTATTTTGTTCATAACGTTTTAAACGTCAAACTCCTGAGTATAAGAAGAAAAATAATATTTTGATTTCTATACAAAATTTTTTTTACGTTGCTATACAAAAAGTGTTTTGTTTTTAAGTCTATACAATTTTATTTAGGTCGATGAATAACTCGGCGAATTTCATTATCTGATAATGGTATACCAGCAAGAACTTTTGCAATAATATCTGAATGTTCTCTTTCATTTTTGGGATTATTATTATTATTATTTGAGCGAACACTTGTTGATGCAATCGGTTGTTTTTTATAAATTTTATCATCAGTATTAAGATTAATCGCTTTATTATAATAATCATTTGTTATTTTAGGTGGTGGTGCTGGTACAGAAGGAGGTACTTGCACTCGACGTGGTCGTTCAATACGTGTTGAGCTTAATGTTGGATTAAGAATAACATTCATATCAATATCATTTTCATCATCTTCAATATCATGATTGGAAATTTTATTTTTTGGTTGACTTGATAGAGTGCTAAGTTTATTTAATGTTGGTGTTCCTAAAACAAAAAAAAATTAGCAATTTTTTTATTGTTTTTGTTTTCATTTGAAAAAGTCTTATATTTTATGAGAGAGAAAATATTCCCAGATGAAGCATATACTCAATTGATAGAGGATGTAGAAAGTAAAACAAATCTCGGAGGATTCGTTGTCACGCATTACTCTTCTGAAGTTATGTCCGTTTCATTGGACTGTTTATACTTGCCATGGTATTTATGAAAAATCGAACAAATAGGGACTTTGTGCAAATAGTGTTTTTTTTTTCAATAAGGATTCAAGAGAAATAAAAATCTTCACAGTATTCCCAAAATTCAGGATTTATAAAGAACTTCAAACCTGCTTTTTCAACAAATAGAATACGAAAATAAAAATTTCTTTGAATTACACAAATCAATAGAGCAACTGGTTTCTTTTTACAAACGAAGCTGTTTCCGAGCTCTTGGCAATAGTTTTTGACGGAACTGCATTGGTATTAATAAATGGCCGATGATTCTTTTTTGGCTTTTTCCCAAGGACAAGCTGGACAAAAAAAACTTTTACGTTTCCCATAAATTTGATGTGAGTTAGTTAAATAATGTGATGAAGAAAGTAGAGAACTAGTCGCTGTGTTACTCTGTATAGTCAAAAGATATGTTTTTTTGTCGCATTCTATTTGTTGAAAAAATTGGTTTTAGATTTTCTAGAAATTTTGAATTTTAGGAAAATGAAATCTATATGACTAATTTTTAGAGCCACTGTTTGCATAAAATTCTTTTTTAAGAATCTTAGTGAAACAATCATAATTCTGAAAATTTCAGTATGTAAGAATAAATTCTTCTAGCTTCTGTACGTGTTTATCTTATCTCAAACGCGAAGTATTACTTAGAGAGACTTTTTTTTGTTTTTGATGAATTTATTCAAAACCGGTAATAACAAAGCTATCGTTTGAAAATTTTTCTTTTCGTGTATCTGTTAGTGTTTTTGGAACGAGCACGCTTACGTGCAGAAAGCATTTGAATTGGTGGTGATGGTGAACGTGTTTCATGACGACTTTTTCTTCGATCACGATCACGTGAAGCACTACGTGCTCGATTAACTGTTGCTGTTGTTGTTGTTGTTGTTGTTGGATGACGTGGTGAAGTTTTTTTCTTTGGTTCTGGCTTTATTTCTTTTCCTTCTTCTTCTTCTTCTTCTTGATCTTCTTTTTTTAAATCAATTAATGGTTTTCGTGATGAAACAGCACCAATAGATGAACGTCGTTGTCGAGATTTGCATGTTATAATTTCTCTTAAACGTCGATAATCACCTTTATCTGTATAATTCATTTGTATAATTTCACGAAAAAATTGTGTTAATGCATCAATCATTTTTGATGTTACAGAATTTTTATTTGTAAATATACTTTGAATAAAACCTGATGGATCACTACGTGCTGTTATTTTTGCTTGTTGTACACGTGCACCATCATTTATGTTTAACCATGGTATACGTGCACCAAGCCAATGTAACATATTATAAAAAAGAATTTCTAAATCACCACGAAATGATGGTACAGCACCACGATGTACATCTAATGATGTAAATTCTAATGTACCTTCATGCCGTCGTTGAATTTTTTCTTCATATTGTAATGAAACTTTTCGACTAAGACCATAATCCAGTAAATAAATATGTATAGAATCATTCATAAGAATATTTTCAGCTTTTATATCAGCATGTACATAACCATGTGAATGTATATATTCAAATATATCAAGTATTTGTTTACCTATGGATTGTACACGTTTTTCATTAAGACAATGACCTATATTATTATTTGTTAATTGAAGTTCATTAGCAAGTGTTTGTTTATAATATGGAATAATTAAAAAACGATAACGACGTTTTGTTGTTGAACTAATATGCATGCCATGACTTATTAATTGTGGTACACCTAAATGATCAAGTTGATTAACTTTAATAAATGTATCTTGTAAGGTTTTTTTTTCCTAATTGTAAATAAAAATGCATTTCACAAAAAAGTGGTCCATTAGAATCTGGTTCAACTTTAACAACATATATTGGTGTTTTAGATAATGTACTACGACATTCATATAGACAACCGAAACCACCTTGTCCAATAGATTGACCAATTGACCATGTTTTATGACAAAGATCTGTTAAAATAGTTCCATTAGTAAATGGTTCAGCCATTTCAAATAGAGCAGCTGCACCACCTTTTTTTCGACCACCACCGCCTGCGGCATTAGCTGCTGATCGTTTTGGTGGCATAATCTTAAAATACAAATAAACAAAGAAAAAAAAATTGTTTTCTTGTTTTTTTTTTTATATCGCTCATTCTTAATTCTTTAAGTAAATATATAAAAAGAAAGGACAAAGAAAATTTTCTGGGCTAACATTTTTTTTTTCTTTTCTCTCTCGATGGATGTTTGTTTTCATGTATATGTTAGCGTCCAATGTCGGATACAGTCCAATCTCAGATCCGTCTAAGCCAATCTCGGATTTTCACGTTGGACTAGTCCAATGTTGGATCGAGAAGAAAATTTTCACTAGAACTATCCAACATTGGACTAGTCCAATGTGAGAATTCGAGATTGGGCTAGGCGAATCTGAGATTGGACTGAATCCGAGATTGGACGCTAACATATATATAAATATATACATTCTACGGAAAAATTAAAGTAGCAACATATACGAACAAGAATAGATAAACACAAGAAATAACATATACTGTTTTATAAAAACAAACAAACATTTATATACAATGTGTTATATGAGAGACATATGTCTAAATGATTTCTATTCGGATGATTTCGCATTTTATTTTATTTTATATTTTTCACTGTAATTGATCTAGCTCTCGTCCTTATTTTATCACATTGAATATACAAAGAGAAAAGTCGAAGATTTTGGTTTTGTTTTTCTTTTTATCACAAATATAATTAAGTTTTAGCTTTAGTTGTTGATTCATTTGGTGGGATAAATACACCAAAACCCAGTAGTAAATTACGACGAGTAAAATGTATTAATGTTGTAGATGTTCGTTTTGTACGATAGGTAACAAGTTCATATTTCGCTGATGGTGTAACACGTTGAACAGTATCTAATTTTCCATCATCTTTATCTTTAATTAATTGTCCAAAATTCCAAATTCGTATAGAAAAATCAACACTACCCGTACATAGAATTGAACCATCACGAGAAATATCCTAAATAGAAAAAAAAAATTCTTTTTAATGCTCTCTTTAACAAGTAGTTGCTTTTCGTCCCTTATTCCGTCATCTATCTTTTTACAAACTCGATGAATATTATTCTAAATTTTCATATCTCGTATTTGAGTTATAAGCGAGATATGTAGACACATATCACAAAGAAAACTCATATCTTATCTTTCAAAAACAAAATTTTTTATAGAATAATTCGTTTTCATCGAAAGTATAATCGAAAACAATAATTTACATTATATTTTCATATTGTTAAGTTTTTTTTATAAAGTATAATCTAAAATTAATCTTGAGATTAAAGATCATCGTGAGATAAGTAGTATAAAAGAGTTGCCATTGACTTTTTTTTTCACACTTACTACAATAGATCTCAATTAATCTCTTACATTAAAAGTAGGTAGGAATTCATAAAACAAAACATATATTGCTTAATACTCTCTTTGATGATACCAATATTGCTATCGAGTCTCATATTTTAATCCCACAGAGATGATGTTAACAGTTTTGTTTTTTCAATCAGATTTATTTTTCTGTTAATATAAGCACCTAGAAAGATTTTAAATGAAAATCTTATTTTATTGAGCATTATTTACCCGAGTAACTCTTAGCACTTTCAGTTAACTATTACTTAAAAATGAATTAATGAATATTTTTCTAGACATAGGTTTTATTTTACTACTATCTAGAGATTTAGGAGAAGGATTTATACTATTTGGAACTACTCATTCGATTATCAATGCTGATAGAAGAAAACAATCAATTACAAATGAATAACCATTAAAAAATAAACAAATCTATTATTTTACCATAGAAAAAATTGCATCTGAATGTCCAAGTAAACATGTAACTAAAGAACCATTACTACAGTCCCATATCATAATTTGTCGATCGTATCCAGCTGATATTAAATATCTACCATCTTTGGAAAATTTTAATATACAAACATTTAATTTATGCCCAGACATTTGTCTAATAGGTTTCATTTGTTGTCCTTCTTTACATTCTAATAAATCCCAGATTTTTAAAATTCGATCTGATGATGATGTGGCTATATAATTTGAATTTGGATGAAAACATAATGTTTCCATATCATTACAACCATCAGTATATATTCGTAATGTTTGAGCATGTTCAATAC